ATGCAATATTTTGCGATATTAACTTTGTTTTTCTATTTGTAGCTACGAAAATCTGCAGAATGGTATCGGTAAAATTGAAATGGATGGCATCAATTCGATTAAATATGAGATCTACAGCATCAAAGAATTTCCGACCTTTACTTGGTACTTAGCTGAGCTAAAGAATTCCGAGCGAAAGAGTTAGCCAAACACACAGACAGACACAGACCGAGCAGTTTGTTCTCGAACTTCTCAAAAGACAAAATTGCATATGCGAATCTCAATTTCGTGCAATATTTACTTATGTGTATGTACAAATGACAACATTACTTTTTCAAAGTAGCCTAATTATCTCGAATAATAGACACACATTATTGTGTACGTAGCGTGTCCAGTCAATATAGAAATACATATGTACTTTAGTAGTACTGCTAGCCCCATTTAAAATATATTCTATGTATTCTAGCGAATATATAGATTTTGTTGATTTTTGTTTCTTCCTTCTAATTTTATTATAAATCTCTCTAAAAAAAAAAAAAAAAAACAAGACAAAAATTCTACACCAATTCCTACAAGGTGAAATGTAGATATTACTTTTGTGATATACAAATTGTTATTCGATCAAAACGATAATTAAAAGAAAAATGAAAATATATTAACTTCGGCATGCCGAAACTTCAACATACCCTTGCAGATGACCTGCAGAGTATTGGTCTGATATACTAATTTTAAGTACGAATTTTGAAATATCAAAGACAACTTATATTTGACTGAGTACTCCAATGGCAGCTCTATTTAGTAATCCGATCCAATTATCAAACTGGACAACTGGCGCAGCTTAAATGGCTTTAAACAAAAAAAAAAAACTACTCTCGAATTATATCAGCCTCTGCAAGGGTGTTGATTATTATCTACCATACTTTAATATACAATACCAAATGTAACACTTATTATAAAATACATTTTACTATACCAGAATAAAACTTTTACTATATTAACAATCTTGAATTGTTGCGCCTGTTATCATGATCCAAAAGAATTAATTTCGTAAATTCAATTAAGAAAACTATTTTTGAAAAAATTCTCAATTTGTTTGCTAATTGAAATTCAACTCCCGAACTTGCAGAGAATAATAATAATAACTAATTATCAATCTCCAACAGCAACAACTAAAAACCAACCCACAAGACCAATTAAAAATTTAACATATCGTTTCGTTGGTTAGATTTCGTTTTTATTAAGGTTACTTTGATTTTTATGCGTACGTTTATTAGAAAATATTTATGGCTTTGTAACGACAATGTTACCTTTTAAGTCTGGGTTATAGTTTACGTTTTTGGGCAGCCGAATGACCGCCGATTAGTAGATAATATTCGAGGGGAGCGGGAAACACACATATATTTGTATGATTATGGCGAGTGGGGGAATTATATTCCGTAGCTCATTTATTAGTTTGGTATGCAAAAAAATACAGTTAAAACAATTGGCTTTCAAATTAAAACTTAAAAATATGCAGACCTTAAGGGGGCCTGTTCGGGTTTTCACTGGTCACGTTGTAATATAAATGCTTTTGTTTTTCTTTTAGATCGTGAGCAAATAATTTGGAGCAAACTAGGTTAGGTTCAACTAATACCAAATCCAACAAACTGGGGCAATGCCTGGATATGAAATATATATACAAACAATAGGTATTATAATAGATATATCAATTTGGTCAACAAATTACAACAATTAGAGAAGCGAACCGAAAATTGGTTAGATAAACAAAATAATATCAACGACAAGCTGTACGTAGGGGGCAGGAATTAGCGTTAGACCTAGTAACGGCAATATTAGAATCCTATATACAAGTAGTAGACGTTGCAATGCGCACTTCTTTTCACATTATAGAGCAGGGCATGGCACAGCAAAGGGGCAGGCACAGGGGCACCACAGCGCCGCCGGATTTGCTTTTCGTCTTTGACTTCGAGCCAGACTCATACTCGTACATGCCCGAGCCTTTAGCCCAGCGACCCTATTAAGCAAATAGAGTATATAAGTATGCTTTAAATTGTGCTGAGATTTGGAAACACTTACACCAACCGCGGAGCCTGCATGCATTTCCTCGCGCCTGGTGATGATCGTGTCGTGACCAGGTGGATAATAGACTTCCTTGCCGGCCTTGTTAACGGAGGGCACATGCTGCTGCTGCGGCGAGGCAACTGCCGTCTCAATCTCGCGCTTGCGAACCGGCGTCTCAATGTCCACGCGGTCCACGTTATCCGTCTGAGGGTATATATAAAAATAGAAGCTGTTTAACAAAAACTCTTAAAATAATATCCAACTTTCTACTTACAGTGCCAAACGATTGCATAAGATCGTCCACACGCTGCGGCGGATTGCCATTACCGACGGGATACTCCACACCGTCGACGGGGAATGGCGAAGGTGTTCCATAGTCTGGGCCAGGACCACGGCGATTGTTTGTATTCGTTGTGGAAGAGTATTTATACGTATAACTAGTGTTCGGTGGATAACCATTGCCGTTCTGGGGCTGCGGATAGTTTGTGCTCGGCAGCTGCTTGAGTGGCGCCGGATGCGATGGCTCCACAGGATACACAGGGCCTCCATTGGGTGGGCCATGTATGGTATTGACGGTATTTGAAGTCTCGGTCTCCTTGAAATAATAGCGATTGGTGCCACCAGGTGGCAGCTGCGGCTGTGCTGGACTCTGCGGCGAACCATAGTTGGGACTATGAGCCGGACTGTGCGGATAACGCTGCTCGTTGACCACATTGTCGGTCTTGTGTATATTGTAGATAATTGTGCGGTTACCGGTGTTGGGCGTGCCGCCACTGGGGCTGATTGCGGGTCCCAGCGGCAGCTGACGTGGCTGTGGGCTCAAGCCGCGCGTGGTCGTCTCCTTGTGCTCCCGAATCTCGTACGACTGGTTGGTCACCAACGGGCGATCGTTGGGTTTGTTCAGTGTCGAGTAGCTCTCCGTGTTATAAACGACTGTCTGGGGCACATGTGACGGCGACAACTGTGTATAGTTCTGGCTAGAGTTGAGTGTTTCGTGGTGCTTATAGCTGCTGCTCAGTGTATTGTTGTTGCTGCTTGTCCGATTGATGGTGCTGGTGGCGCTGCCGGGACCAGTCGATGGTATTTCATAGGTGTAGGTGCGCACAGTGGTGGTCACCTTGGTGCCCGGTGCGGGCAATATGCCATCGCTCAACGCAATGTCCTGCAGCTCCTTATCAATGTTCACACTGTTGGTCACCGTCTGCGTGCTGTTCACGCTTGGCACCAGCTCCACATTGTTGTTGAGCGTGCGATTGCTCTCGTAGATTTTGGTCTTACTTGAGTAGTGACCACCTGGCGAGTGGGCTGTGAAGGAAATAATAAAAAAAAGTTAGCTTCAATCTAATGGCATATGAAAATTACGGTTTTTGATTTACCCAGCGTATAGGGCTTCTCCTTGGCCAGATACTCGTCACGCTTTAAGTTGTCCTGAAAGCTGGAGTACTTAGCCGTCGACTGCAAGGTGCTATAATCGGTGTTGTTAAAGGTCTCGACGTCATCGCTGAAGGGCTGCTGTCCACCTGAATGCTTCGTGGTCTTGATCACACGCGTAGTCTTCGTGACGGTGCCTGACGGATCCGTGCGTTCGCTGGGGAAAAGAATAACATTTTGGTAACTATTGTTTCTTTTCTTTTCTTTATTTTGCTGATTACACTTGTTTAAAGAGGCTTTAATTGTTTAAGATTTGGAACCTTAAGTGTGTTCCATTGAATTTGTTTAAATACTTTTTAGATAAGGAAGAATGAATTACATACATTTAATATTGCAATCTCTTCTATCACTGCAAAAGCACAGCATTCACAAATATATCAAACAGAATTCGCGTACGATTAAATACTTTTAAGAATAATTTAAAATAAGTACAATATATATATATATATAAATATATACATATGTGTGTGGATGTGGACGTGTGTGTATGTATGTATGTATATATGTATGCATGCATGTTTGTTTTCCAACACAAAACACAGGCCAAACCTATTTGTCGCTGTGCAGCAAATTTAAATAAAACGAATTTCTTCCAAGTGCTCTCCTCCTCGATTCTCAAGAATTCAAGTAGGCTCTGCGGCTTTCCATGCTTAGCCAGTAGTGCAGTGCATTTTTTTTTTGGTGACTTTTTTTTTGGTGATTTGTATGTGTGTATATACATACGTATGTATGTACATATGTACGTGCATATGTATGTACGTACATATGTATGTATATGCATATGTATGTATGTGCATATGTATGTACGTACATATGTATGTATATGCATATGTATGTATGTGCATATGTATGTATGTGCATATGCATGTATGTGCATATGCATGTATGTACATATGCATGTATGTTCATATGCATGCATGTGCATATGCATGTATGTTCATATGCATGCATGTGCATATGCATGCATGTGCATGTGCATACATATGCATGCTTGTGTGTGCGCATATTTGTACATATGCGGACATGTATTCATACACGTACGCATGCATGCATGTCTGCAAGCACACAAAACAAGCATGCAGACATGTATGTACAAGCAAGCACACATGTACATATATATGCAAGCTTACAGCTTTAGCATTACTGGCGAGGAGGTTAGGAAAAAGTGTAACACACATCTCAAACGTGACCCACCAAATCGTTGGTCCTCATTTCCATCAAGGAGCAATGGATTTTCGACAACACAACTCAAATGGATTTGAACGAAGATCTTTGAAAATGAGTTTTAGGCCGATCGGATGGTAAACAACAAAATGTATATACAAAGGTCTCTCGCGATTGTTGCACACACGCGGTCATCATTTAAGGTAATTACACAGACAATTTCAGCCTCCTAGCACTTATTGGCAATCAGTCAGTCAGCACAAACAGTTGTTTATATTGAAGTAATCCCTATTCATTTTCAACTTACAGGGTTCTGTAGCTGGTGCCAGTCGGCAAGATGTCCCGCTCTCTGTGGGTAAGTTGACGTTCCTGCTTCAAGTCCTCGAGCAGTGCGTCCAACTGATCGACGTTCTGATCGGCGCCCTTGCCTTGGTAGGATGCATTGTTATCGGCCGAGCTAGAGTATTGATACGATGATTTCTTGTACGCATAATTCTTGTCGTTCTGTGGATGGATATGAGATCGTGTTTGAAATAAGGAATGCAAAATATCAACAGCTTTTACTTACACGTCCGTTCCATTTCGAGGGCGTATCTCTCAACGAGGATGAGTAATTTTCCGAGCTGCTCGAGTACTGCATTTCCAATTATTGTTTTCTGCTGGAATATGACATCAACCGAAAATATTCAGAAAATATTTAAAATTTACATTATGCATGAGTAAGTACTATTTTAGTCATGGTCTGTACATAAATTCAAGCTAGCGTAGGTGTTACTGTAAACGTAAACGGCTTCGGGCTGACAGGTTGATTCGCAGTTCATAAGAATTTCAAACATTTCTATATACAACACCCACGACGTATCTTTTCAATATGTACAGAAATGGTGCGTCGTTTCCAGAACAGCTCGCATTCTAAGGTGATATTTTTGGCGCATTAATGTAGCTTAAGTCGTTTAAAGTGGTCAACACTTGAGAAGATTATCTGTCAATAGCACCAAGAAAACACAAAGATACAAAACGAACCGGACTAAGTTAGGCAAATAAACAAGAAGAAGGGCATGCATGACGCTTAGATACCTAGTATTTAGATCTTAATTGAGATTTTTGATATTTATCTATAAACAGATTAAAGACTAAGGGAGTTACGCGGCATTGCGCGGGTCTAAAATGCGCCAACTTAACGCAGTCACAATTTAAGACTTGATTTGAGCCAGCGACCGGCCGCTTCCGAGTCCGACGCTCAAACACCAAGGCCACGCCGCATTATGACGTCACGTTTGCAAATATATAATGGCATTGATTTTCAGAACTGACGACACACACATACATGCACACATGCACACATGCATATGCATAAGCTGCAGTAAAGTCAATGTCAAACTGGTTTTCACTTTTAACGTGTCCTTAGTTCCTTTTCCGTCGGATCACAACAAAACCCCACAAACCTGTATATGCGCTCGTTGTCTGACTACTGAGTTGATGAGCTTTATTTTATTTAATTTTTTTTTTAGTGATTTAGCGATAACCTTGAGTGAGATTTCAATGAATGACTTTGTATGAGGCGCATGTGAGAGAATAACAGATGCAAAAGATTCGTATGGCAAACACAAGGATGACCGAAGATGACATCATCTGAGACATAAACAAATACTCGACTGACTTGCACGTAACTAAAATAAATCACGACAAATCAAACTCAAATCAAATGAGTAGCTAGTTGCTTGGGCGAAATACTCGTGATGTTCTGCGCGCCTGCCGCCATATGGTCAAGAGTTTAGCCAATCAAGCAGCTAACGTAGGCAAAATATGTGCACATATCAAAAAAAAAAAAAAAACATCATAATATAAAGGCTAAATCAAATTGACGCTTGGATCACACACAGCACGTTTTTTAGTGGCGCTATGGGCTAAATTTCAAAATTAAAACCAAAAAAAAAAATGTGTATTTTTTTCAAAGCAATAACAAAACTGGTCAACCAGAGCGCAAGTCGAAGCGTGTGATGCGTGTGTTTGTTTTTGCATATTGCTCTTGTTGTTGTTTTACAGTTCAAAATGATCTCATATAATCGGAACGAGAGACAAAAAGAGGGAACATACTGCTGCCGCTGCTGCTGCTACTGCTAGTGTCTGGCATTGGAGTGGGCGTGACGTAAAGGCAGGGGCCGGGGGAAGCAGCGACTCGCAAAATGCCAGCGGCCAAGATCTATATACATACATACACACACTAACACACATGTATACTCATACATGTGTTTATATATATGTACATAACTGTATGTAAGAACGAGCAAACATAAAATAAACAAAATAGCAAACGAACAAGCTTGAACTGGCCGAAAAGAGCAAAGCTAAGGTGTTTGTGTTGTTGTTGTTCAAATTTCCGAAAATCAAATTGAAAACGTAGGCGAAAAAGGCGTAGAACATATGCGTGTATGTGTGTGCGTGTGTATGTAAGAATGCATGTGTATTCTAGCGCCTGTGCTGGGTTGCCAATTTGTGTGTCGCTGGTGACGCCGCTGCCGCCTCCTCTGCCACCTACGCAGTAGAGCACAGTTCAATCTAGTCAATACACAAATACATATACATATACAAATGTATATATATATATGTATGTATATGAGCATGTAGCATAAACAAGCTGTAGACACCGTTTGAACTTGGCTAATTTAAATTGAAATTTTACGTCTGAATATACTACGCAAAGATGCTCGTTATAATTCTTCTTCATCTTGTTTTTTTTTTTTTGGCTGATTTTACGACGGACCAGCATACAATGAAAATGAATAGGCAATGTTGTCGTCGTCGCCTTCATTTGCCGACTTTCGTCTTTTGCTGTACAATTTGTTGTTGGTTTGTACGTACATATGTATGTATGCATGTACATATGTATTTATGTATGAAAACAAATAATTCTATAAATAGTTCACTGCCACTGTTCTTTTGGCTTTCAATTCGAAATACTGTTTTTGTTGCTCTTGATTCAAAATATAAAGCGAGTGCGCCCCGCAAATGAATCATCGCAAGGGATATATAAATACATACATACATATGTAAATATGTATGTACATAGGTAACGGGTTAGACAGAGGATGCGGATGCAATTCAATGCGTATTTTTATTGAAAACACAATTTGAATTTCTCTTAGCTGCCCCAATCACGAGCGTACAAGCGCATACACACAATAGATACAGCTACCACAAGCTAAAAGATACGTCTACCCATACAAATGAGTATCAGTGGGATACGTAGGGAAAACTAAAACTCGTTTCTATGTGCGTTTGTCGCCGTCATCAGTTTGTTGTTTAAGCTTGTCTGCCAGTTCAAGAGATAGCTAGATTCCATAGATACACACACACACACACACACACAAAAACATTCACTCTTACATATATACATTCGGTACATACATTCATGCAATCTTACTATGTCATTCACTAGCACTCACTGTGCACTTTTCCAAAACCCAAAATGATTGGTGCAGACTGTTGTCCCGTAATTGTTGCTGCAGCTGTAGTTGTTGCAGTTGTTGTTGTTGTTGTGGTTATTGCTGGCAACGGCGACGGGTTCAGTGTTCAGCCAAAAGAAAATTGCTACAATGCGCGGGCGCGTTAGTCTTAGAAATTCGTTTGTGTGTGTGAGTGTTTTTGGTTTGTTAGTGTGTATTCGTGTGTCTACTACAAAACGTAACGGTAACGGAACAGCTTTGCTTTCTATACGCGTACGCGCCTCGCTGGTTTGTGCAGTACTGTGGCTTCGATTTTGCACTTGCCACGAGCAGAGCACGATCGAAACAGATCGGACGCCCAGTTGTCTGATCTATAGGTTACGTTTTGGCATGCGCATCTCTCTCTCTCTCTCTCTCGCTCTAAAATCTTCAACAGTCGAATTTAACATTAAATGTAACATTTCTAACTTGAAGTGCAGAAAAATATTTACCTAATTGCAGCGAGATTTAAATTTTAAAAGCCATTAAATGTAAATGTAGCAAGGTTCATTTGAGTATAAAGTCCGTTAATTTGTATTTGGCAAGCGGGGTTCGTATACAAACGTCTGAGAGTGTGACGTCATTCTCTCGCATTTCACGTAATGAACTGTGGACCGAACCCGTTGTTCGCTGCTCAGCAATCGCTCAGAGAGCATCCATTGTCGACCATCTCTCTAACTGGTCGCACGCAAAGCTTTTTTCTGCGCAGTTTACGAAAAGCTTTTGGTTTTGGCGGCTAAATTTTTAATAAAATGCGGTTGCTTTGTATTTAATCAAGACAAAAGTCAAGTGTTATTTTATTTATTCGTATTATTCTTAGCAGTGTCCATGGGTTTTTATAAAAGATCAAAATTGTAGTTAATGCAATTAGTCAAGCTTTTTCTTTACAAAAAACGGTAACTTAGTTCACTCATAAAAGCGTTACAACTGAGAGCGTGTATGCAGTTTTTTAAAAATTACTGTACTTATGTATAGGGAAAACATCTAGTCCTTGGCGGGCACCTCGATGACGCGCGGCTTATCAATGATGCGTGCCGTCTTGTTGCCCTTCTCCACAATGCCAATGATCCAGGCCTGGTAGCCCTCCTGCTTCTCAATGTCTTTGCAATAGGCAGCGGCTTGTTCCCGGGGCAAGCAGATGAGCAAGCCACCGGATGTTTCCGCAGAATGTCCCTGCAGTAACTGGAACATATTGCCACAGGCCTTGGCCACAGCCGCCATTTTGGCTATGACTGGAAGATTGTGAATAACGAAGGACACATCCTTCTTCTGGTGGGCGGCCAGAGTTTGTGCATGGCCCAACAGGCCGAAGCCGGTTATATCGGTTGCTCCATGGGCGTTGTATTTGTGCATAAGACGAGCGGCTACTCGGTTCAAGCGCGACATAGAGTTCATGGCACGATGATATGCCTTGCGCACATCCTCTTCGGAGACGACCAGTTTGATGCGGTTCCAACGTTCCGGCTGGTCGATCCACTGATGCGCATTCACAGCCACCTGAGTGCCCAGTGGCTTCGTCAGCACCAGAACGTCCCCAACAACAGCATTGTCCGGCACTATGTACTCGTTTGGCTGGCATATGGTCGAGGCAACGCCGCCGATGGTGCACCAGGGATTGACAACGCTCTGGCCGCCGGTAACGGTGGTGCCTGCCTCCAGAGCTGAGTCCTTGAAGCCTCGCATTATCAGTGGTATGACAACATCGCGCTCCTTTTCCGTCATCTTGGTGCTTACGGCCAACAGCATAAGCATATTGTCACAGTCGGTTACGCCCATGGCATACAGATCGCTGAGCACATTCGCACATGCAATTTTGCCCATCATGTAGGGATCGTCGACAATCGGATAAAAGAAGTCCGTGGTCTGCACCAGGCAAAGGCCGCCGTGACGCAGTGGTATAACGGCACAATCGAGTCCAATGCCAATGCGGGGTATGGCCACGTTTAGAAACTGCGGCTCCTGATCTTGAGCGGAGTAGTCTTGCTGCAGGGCCGAGACAAGCTTTGACAGGACTTCTTGGGGCACTTTACAGCCGCGTCCTTTCAGGTCCGCGAAACGTGTCAGGCGAAAAGATGCATCCAAATCGTGGGCAGTTGGGTCAAACGGCCGGCGCAGCTCAGCGTCGCCACCGCCGTGCAGCTCGAGATGGGCAGCATTTAGTACGTCCGCAGCGTAACTCATTTTATTCCAAAAATCTAATTAAATAAACCAAATGGTTTGATTAGTTAGTGTATTCCAACTGGAATTACGCACTTTTTGCCGCCAATAAAACGGGTGGCAGCAAATAACTCGCGTTCTCCCTGGGCACTAATACACACGCAAACAGACGTGTACGTATACTGATTTTTAGTCCGATTCTGTGTGTGTGTGAGTAGTGCGAGCAGTCATTGGCTATTTGCGCGCTGGCGGCTGAATCGGGCGAAGTCAGTATTTCTCCCCGTCGTCAAAGAACAAAACGTGAACAATGTCCACTTTCTTCAATTTACAAAAGCCTAATTTTTGCTCGATTTTAAAACGGCAAAATATTCAAATACATTACCAACACGAAATACCTACGTTTTCGCTTCGAAATGTGCAATAAAATACTTAATAACCGGACAATAATTTTTTATTTAGCGCGTTGATTTGCTTTTGCACCGCTGTCGCTGTCTGAATAGAGTTGCATGTTTGGTTTATCGATATGCTTATCGTCACAGTGGCAACCACAGCACTGCCAACTTGTTTAAAATAAAGTGGCGCGTCGTTAAGTAAATACGTCTGCCTAATAATAATATGATTAAGTTAAATATTTTAGGCAAATCTACATATTTCTATTATTACTTAATGTTCGATCTGCAAAATGTTCAAGGGCCATTGCATTGGCAACTGGCCTCGACGCATAGTAACAACAAAGCCAGCCGAAGCCAATGGCCAGTAGCGAAACAGAGAGAAAGACAAGCGGAACCTGTTGCGCGAGCGCAGCTTAAAAGTAAAAGTGAGAAAATGAAGAAAAAAAAACAATAATATTAACTTTTATGGCAACAAATATAATTAATTTTTGCTTTTATATAGATTAAACGCGGAGCCGGAGTAGCTATAGAAGCTCGTTTTAGTACGCTGCACAAACAATAGACTTAAGAAACAAACTTACTTTTGCCATGGCCAAAGCGAATCGGTGACGACAGAGCCACAAGTTAAACAAGTTAACAAATTAACAAATCTAAAAGTGGATCATGATTCAGCTACGCCTGCGCACAGTTGTTTTCTTACTGCTGCACTTATTCGCATTGGTTAGCACTGAATACGTTTATGGCGAACCAGAATTCAAATGTCCCAAAAAGTGAGTTCTTATGGAGCATTTATTTGTGTATAAATTTCTTATATTTATTTAACCAATGCACAGGCCCCAAGTCTTATATCCCTGCCTGTGCGTAAAAGGCAGCGATACTGGGCTGTATGTGCGCTGCGAGAACACGAATTTGGCCACGCTTTCCGTGGCCTTGCAGAACTTGGCGTCCCTGGAGCTGCCCGTGGAGGAGCTGACCATATATAAAGGACATTTTGGTGCGTAAGCGCTTTTCCATTTTGTAGTTAAAATATTTATTTATATGTGAATATTTTAGTGAGGCTCTTCGGACCGCTTTTCGCGCACATTAAGGCGCGTGTGCTGACCATTGAGGAGACGCCTCTTGCCACCATTGAGGACTATGTTTTTTACGGCATGAACAATACATTGGAGCAGCTTAATTTGCTGCGCACGAATCTAAGTCAAGTTGGTCAGTTGGGATTTGGCGTAAGTATTCGTGCGGATAATTTCCTAGTTAGGAACACTAGAAACTGTGAAACCCTTTGCCATATTCATATAATGTATACATATTATTGATTCGCCAGATACTGGGCAAGACCCGTCAATTGGTAATCGATGGACATGCGTTTAAGCAACTGCCCAAAGAACTGTTTCTCGGTCAAGAAATCAGCAACAAGCTCGAAACGATGCGGCTAACAAATGGACTCCTGAGTGATTTGCCTGTGGAGACATTCCAACCGCTGCGCAAGTTGAAAACTTTGGACTTGCACGGAAATCAACTGGAGAACCTTAAACGGAATCAATTTAAGAACCTGCGTGAACTGGAGCTGCTGGATATAAGCTTTAATAAAATCAAGAAATTGGAGGCCCAACATATTGCAGACCTGACAAAGCTTGGCTGGTGCAATGTTTCGCACAACGCCTTAAACGAACTGAGCCGTGGCACCTTTGCCAGGAATTCGGTGCTGAAGGTCCTTCATCTGTCACACAACAACATTGGCAAACTGGACGCAAATAGTTTTCGAGGAATGCGTTTTCTGCGTCGCCTCTACCTCAGCGACAATGCCATCACAGAAGTGGGACGTGCCACATTTGGTTCTGTGGCGCGCATCGGCACAATTGACCTGGCGCGCAACAAGCTTAAAAAGATTGAGTATCAAATGTTCACGCAAATGAATTATGTTGAGGTATGTAAAGGGAATAACGTATTAAGAATTGAATAATAAACCTCATAATTTTGCAGCTGCTGGATTTGGCGGAGAATAATATAACTAAAATTGAGAAGAACTCGTTCAAGGACATTTACCAGGCCGTTATCAATATATCCCACAATGCTTTGGAGCTAATTGAAACCGCCGCCTTTGAGAACTGCGTTAATATTACCATTCTAGATCTGTCCCATAACCGTCTTGTCAACTTTTCGCGTCGCAGCTTCGACGAGACGACCTTCGCCTCCGAGTTCCAACTTAGCTTTAATGGTCTAACTAATCTGGCACATGTAAGTTACATCTTAGTTAAAATATTATTAATAATAACAGTTTTTGCTTTTCAGATACCCATTCAGAACATGTCTGGGCTACGCGTGCTGAACGCTTCACACAATAGCATCACGGAAATACCCAAAAACTGTTTTCCCAAACTATATGAGCTGCATACTATCGATGTGTCGTATAACAACATATCTGTAATATTTAATGGCGTTTTTCAAACACTTTTCTCGCTGCGCTCCATCAATCTGAGCCACAATAGCATGCAGGAGATAAGATCTTCTACATTTGGCACATTACCAACATTGTTGGAGATGGATCTGAGCCACAACAAACTGACTTCCATAGTCCGCGGATCGCTGGCCAAGCTAACTAGCTTGCGGCAGCTCTATTTAAACAACAATAGCCTGGAAAAGTTGTTTCAGCTGCCAATTTCGTTGAACGAACTATATTTGAGCCATAACAACATTAGCTCCATACCGGCGGGCACCTGGCCTGTGATGAATTCCCTAATATACTTGGATCTCAGCTATAATCAAATTGGGGATAACCTGGATGGACAGAGCTTTACGGGCTTGCTGGTGGTGCAGCGACTCATGCTGCAGGCCAACGGCATCAGCAAGCCGCCAATGGAGGCGGTCGCAGTGATGTCCACACTGCAATATCTGCACTTGGAAGTAAGTATTGTGGGACTTTAGAGTTCTATTTGGTGAGAGTATAAAGATCCATTTATGTACCAAACCTTAAGTTGATTGAAAACGAGTCTTAAAACGGAACCTAAAAGGCTCAAACTATTTCTTATAGATCAACTATTTTTAATACCATTTTTGTTATTGTTGGCTAAAGTTTAAATCTTGTTTTCATATTTGTTTATCACGAATTTATAACCGGTTTGTCGAATGATTAATTTAATGGTTTATCAAGATTTTTCGTTGCATGCATTTTGTACAAATATTACGCTGGTTGGCTCAAGGCCAATATTGGCTATTTGTATTATATAAAATATAACCAGTTAACAATATGTTCATAAGCTTCTGCTTCAATTAACACCCAATTAGCAAACACCTCGCCACTCTTTTATCAGCAAGCAAATAATTCAGCTTGCTTTAGCCTATTAAAACAATTTTGTGCCGAATTAATTCAGTTTTATTTGGTATATTTTGTAATAACTTTTATCGCCTCTTATTTTAAATATTTATCCGCTAATTAAGTAAATATTTTTTCTTGCAGAACAACAATATTAGCTTATTGGAGCGCAGTGCATTTGGCAAGCTGCCCGTTTTGTTTGAACTCAATCTCTATGGCAATCAGGTCTCCGACATTAGGTGAGTGCTCAATCGATTGCAGTCCACACACACGTATATAAATGTAACATTTTATTTTAGTAAACGTGCGTTCGAGGGTCTGCTGCAGTTGCTCACGCTGAATCTGTCGATGAATGGCCTGCAACAGCTGCCAAATGATATATTCATTGGATTGCCCTCGCTGCGCACGCTCGACTTGTCGTACAATGCGCTTTCCAAACTGGACAATAAGACGAATGGTGTGCTGGACGATTTGCTCAGTCTGGAGACGCTCAATTTGAGTCACAATCGTATTAGTTTTGTGACCAAGAAAACCTTTCCATCGCATCAGTATATACCCTACAATCTGAAGTACTTGGATTTGAGCTACAATCAAATGCCTGTGCTCACCTATGATATTACCTTTGGCACCAAGAAGCTGCTTAAACTGAATGTCTCCCACAATCAAATCAATGAGCTGCGTCGCGGCGTCATATCCAACTTTACGTCCCTGCAATCGCTGGATCTGTCGCACAACGAACTGTCCAATCTAATGTCCGAGGAACATATTTTCGATCTGCCCAAGAATCTGAGTAGCCTGGATGTGTCGTACAATCAACTGTATCATTTGCCCTTTGCCAATCTGGTGAAGACACACTCGCTGAAGCATGTTGACCTCAGGCACAATAGCCTGGAGGATATACCAGCCCCGCTGGTGGCCACCATGCGCAATGGCAGTCAGGTGTTGCTGGCCAACAATCCGCTGTACTGCGGCTGTAATGTACGACCGCTGAAGCACTTTATGCTGGAGCAGACAACACCTGGCGATGATTTGAGCAGCGTGCTCTGCCAGACGCCCAGCCTGGCGAAGGATCAGTATCTGCTGAACATGGACGATGAGTATTTAAACTGCAGAGAAGATGAGTTGACGCTGTATGCCGGCACGGAGTACGAACAGCTGACCGATGTGCGTTTCCGCGAGGTCCAAACGTATGTATAACCAAGAAAGCTTCGCATATTAATACTGCTCCATTTGGCTTGCAGCAACAAGGCAGGTAATCTGACGCTGCGCTGGTTTGTGTCTGCCATAGCGGATGTGGCCGACTTTAAAGTGTATATACGCAGCAGCAGCAACGAGGTGCTGCATCAGGCTGACTATGCCTACAACCAGCGCACGGCTCAAATACCCATTGCCGAGCTGTTGCCACAGGGCGAGGCAAAACTAACAACGGCTGAGATTTGCATTGTGGCCCGCGACAGTGAGGGCAACACGCGCCGCTGGTTTGCCGGCCAGTGCCAGGCGCTGCCCTCACTCAAATTGCCCAGGACCTACTTCTTTGGCAACTTTAACGTAAGAAGTGGAGCCGGCGCCTCAAAGTCGCTGACTGGGACTACCTGCCCATTGTACATAGCTTTAACATTGTTTGTTGCCCTCGTTCAATATTGTGTTCAATAAATTGTAGGCGTGTGCATACTGCTGGCACACACTGTAAGGACGCGTTCTGCTCTGACCTTACATGTGCACGCCGTCCCATGCACATGTATTTGTTTACTTGGCCGTTGTTGCCGCCACCGATTCGTGTGTGTGTGTGTGTGTGTGTGTGCGTGTGTGTCGGCCGTTAAGCACAATTGAGAATTTGTTAAAGCCCAACCAGCTGATGCTTTCGAACTTTCATTCACAGCGAAAACACAAAAGCAAAGCAGGCAGCGAAGCGCCGCAATTTCGTGTGCGCTCGGCTTGTACCGTTCGAGTGTTTGTTGTTATTGCCCGAGCAAACGTCACAGTATGACGACGGCGCCAATGTGAGCGCAAGGACTTTGAGCAAAAGCAAAGCTTGCCAAACAAATGCGCACTCGCACTCTCGCGTTCTCAGCTTTAACTTAGATGACGCTTATAAGTGCGTATACACTGGCGGTCAGCCGTAGCATGTATACTTCAGGTAAATAATAACAAATTAGACAATTTTTGCCTTAGGCTCAATTAGCCAATTTGTAGAAAATTAAATTTGGCATATACAATTTATTATAATTATAAAACTATTGATATGTTGTTTTTAAAACAATGCTTAAATTAACTCTTTTTTCCAATTTTTATCAATTACAATAATCTAAAACCTCATCAAATGTGATTTACAGCAGAGAGGACGTGCATCTGCTTCTACTTTGAGCTATACACTTTCTTGTTAGCCACCACTGTGGCAGCACTAGGCCAGGACATGTGCACTTTCACTGGCTGCGCTCTCGTTTTCGGTGTATTGTGCTTTTTAGTTTGGTGACTTTGCGCTGCCTTTGCATTTGCGCTGGCACTTTGCCCGTGTCCTTATCGATTTTCAGCGAAATTTCACAGGCTCACGGCGCACGTCAGTGCCAGGCGAAGATTCACTTGTCGCGCTGAGTTCGTTCGTGTCGTGTTCGCACAGCACAGCAGCGAATAACAGTATCAGAGCCGTTATATAAAGAGATTTCAATAGAAAGTACATACATATAATAAGTGAACGCTGCTGTGAGCAATATTATAAGCGCCCAGGCATTAATAATTGTAATAAATTCAACGTTAAAGCAGCATTGTGATAACACAGCAAATCGCGACGAGAAATACTCAAATTTGTAACGTATTAAATATACATAAGTTAAAGGAAAAGAAAACACGCTGCCAACTGTGCCGTAACACGGAGGCATTGAAAAAAGTTCCAGGTAGTAGCAGCAGGAGACGTCAAAAGCGAAGGCGCAAACGAAGACGAGAACGAAAATGTAATAGAGGTCAAAAGAAGCATTGATTTAACGTGCACTTTCTTCTGTTCCGTTTTCTACATTTGATTCGCTTGCGGTTTCTCGCTGGGTGCGCGCGTTTGTGTGTGTGTGTGTATGCCAGTGCCTGCGCGCGTGTATGTGTGTTAGTTGGGGCCCAATTGTGTTGCGTAAAGAATTTCGTTAAACATTTAACTAACGCGTTTTCGCGTTTCATTCAATAAACTTATACGCACATACAGACACACGCACACACACACAAGCATGCGAAAAACTTACACACTTTCGCAGCGCGTGTTTGTGTGCGAGCGTGGCGCCTATTAATTGTGTATATATGTACATATTTACTTATACATATGTACATATGTGCGTACATATTTGTACAGACATTTGTATGTGTGCATGTGTGTGTGTGCCACTATGTGCGAATTGCGGATGACGAATTACCTCCGCTTACGCATGTAAAAAAGTCTTTTCGCCTAATTTAACCACGCCGCAGCAGCTGAAAGAAAAAAGAAAAAAACATGGCATGTAACGCAGTTCAATATCCAATAAGAGACCAAGTCATAATTACATAATCAAATAGAACAAGTTTGCAAAAACTAACAACAGAATAACAACAACAAAAAGTGAAAAACGATGAGCAAAGTGAACTAAAACAAAAATTTCAACTTCAAGTGCAGCATTATTTAATCAACGCCCCGGAAACGCCTCAAAGTGAAAGTTATAAAAGAATAAAAGAAAAACAAAACCTATGTACCTGCAACAAAGAAATTGAGCAAATTATAAGTCACTCCCACACACACACACACACACACACGCACACACACCCAAACAGACAGACACACAAGCAAGCGCATCAATTTAAGATATTTAACAAAATTTAGCAAGAACAAATTACTTTTAAAAATATACAACAAAGACAACAAAAAATTGCAATTAATTAAAAAAGAAATCCCCTCGCTACAACTAACATAAATATATACAAGAAAAGTGCTATAATATATACAATACATACAGTTATATAGAGCCGTTATATACTGACATACATACTTATATATATGCTATACATATATGCTACTTATATAAAAACCGTTGTATATGTAGTTGCCGTTATGCGAATTGTCCAACACTGGATGTCAATGAAAAATAACTGAATATAACTAGAGCTATAGCTAAAGGAAACCTCGTAGTTTGTAGGACAAGCGTCTTCTTCATGTAGCAAAATCAAATTAAATATACATATATATATTAATATATATATATATATACATTTATTATCAAGCGTAGCATTAATCGCACCTAACGACTAACAGAACTACCAAGTAGTTGCCTCTCTCTATATATATATATATATTAGTGTAGAATCCAACTAAATATATATGGATTTATTTTTATAAAGCCGCCACGACTTCAACTCCAACTCGAGCCAACAAATTAACGCACTAATTAAAGGCCGCGACGAAAACGTGCAGCAGGACGACAAGGACATCGCTGCCGCCGGCATCGCCGCTGTCAAACACGCCTCCAATTTGCCTCGCACGCGAGTTTGTGCTACTTTTATAGATATAGCTACGTATGTTTACCTGTGCGGGGCTTACTGCAACGCGCGCCTTGACGTAACTCCGGCACAAGCCACGTAACAGCACGCCCGGACCCGCCCGACTTCGGCTACAGCTAAGGTCCGAGGCGCGGACCATGCATGAATGTAACGGTAACACCATAACGCCTTAACTTGAGTCACAACTTTCCACAAGACCAAATAATAATTTGACGATTACGAGAAAGCAGGAGCAGAAAACAACAAGGAAAGAGAGATACAAACAGAATATTAGCAATACGATTTTTTCTGTGGCAGAAACCCTATTGTAGCCGTTCTTTGTGATATTCGAAACATATGTTAAACGATCCTGAAATCAAATAATAATACAACTGTGTGTGCTCTCCGCCTGCTGCCCACCATTCTTCAGTTCGCCCGCCCCGCCTGTCATCGCCACCAAAACTCCACCTAAAACCTGAGCAAGATAAACAAGAGACACCAAAATAACGGCACAGAGAAACCCTTAGAGAATAAAGCGACGTCTATAATCCAAAGTACAAAAGATAACACGAAAAAATACTAAATCTACAAATATAGTACGTATATACACAATGTCAATAAGAGCCTAAAGAAAAAAAAATGCAACATATGGTATTAATATATTAACTTAGTAGTCATATACGTTAACCATAACCTCAAACTCAACTTTAGCGAGCGCCCAACTAAAACTCCAGCTCCAACTCCAACTCGAAAGCGAAACCAAAACCAAAAGCAAAACCAAACCCAACCAAACCATAAGCAATATAACTAGTGCTGTTAACTATTTTAGTAACTATATTTTAGACAGTCAACCTACGTTACTTAACACCTCTAACTATAACCCACCAAAACGCACACACACACACACACACCAACAAGGCACGCAGAGATCGCAAAGGAAGATAACAAAAGAAAAAAAAACCAAACAGTGTTAAAAGCAAGTGAAAGAGTAAAACAATAAAAAGCCGCTTCTAAACACTAAAAACGATTACGAAATGCTCAGCATGCGGTTGCTGTGAGTGAGATATAGAGCGAGAGGAAGAGAAGAGAACTTTAGTTAAGCAACAACGAAAAGCAATTACTATTTTGTTTATGTGTCCCTTATATGTCGTGTACTTGTACTTGTATTAGTTAATTCCAAACAGGAGGCAGTGCAAAAGATAGAGAGAGAGAGAGAGTGAGAGAGAGGCAGAGAGTTAGAGATTACACACAAATACAAAAAACACACACACACACACAATTACAATCGCATGCTCGATTATCATATGCAGCAAACACACACACGATGATAAAGCCCAGAATTGCGACAGGCGTTACGGATTGCGCTATATGGCAATAACAACAACAACAACAACAACAAAAACATCAGCAGCAGCAACATAAAAAAAATCAAACAGCAGCAGCAGCTGGGTGCTTGTGTGTGTGTGTGTGTGTGTGTGTGTAAGCGCGCGCGACTCTGTGTACGTGTGTTAGAAGGCGCAAGTTGTGAGTGGAGCGACGACGACGAAAACGAAGAGGAGGTGGAGGAGGAGGGAGGAGCAGGAGAAGAAAGAGAAGGAGGAGCAACGGCATAACTGTGTACCTAACGGCAAAAATCAAATTTTACCGTTTCCATGCGGAGCTGCTGTTGGTGCTGGCTGGTAACAAAAAATGCACGTTAAACACACACAGCGGCGAGTTAGCGGTCCTGGAGCATTCGGAACATTTACCAACGACCAACGGTATGCAATTATTTAACATACATACTTACATACATATTCATTCAATTTTGTTTTTGATGATTGTTTGTTGATAGTTACGTGATGTTACGTTACGTGAACTGGCGTTGCGTTACGTATTGTATACAGTACACAATGTACACGTGTGCATGGTATCAATGTATGTGTGTGTGTGTGTGTGCATGTATTTGTTATGCGTGTGCGTGTGGGTGTTTCAATGTGAGGTCGAGGCTGTGCATAGCCTGAAGCGAGCTAAATCCCAATAATTCATCAAATATTAAAAGAACAAGAAAAAAAAAACAGTGTGTCCATCAATAATTAAGCAGAACTGGTACGTCCTGAAACACCTGTGCACACATATGCACACATACATACATACATATATGTGCACGTGTACATTTTAAATTATTTACATGAATGTATTTCCGTTTCCGTTTCATTTTCAGCATTCCCATTAGTTTATGTTGTTTTTTTTTGGTTTGTTTGCCGTGTTCGTTCGTTCGTTTGTTTGTTTGTTCTTAAGTTAAACTGTTGGCATTGTTGTTGTTGTTGTTGTTGTTGTTATTATTGCTGCTGTTGCTAGCATCATAAATGTGTGTGAGTGTGTGTGTGTGTGTGTTTGTTACGATTTGCAAGCTTGAATTACACAAGACGAGCAACATCTTTTTGGGGCCCAGTTTGTAGCTGTAATAACATATGTATGCACGTCCATGCATATAAGTACATACATATGTTCACTACACAACCTGTTTATGCCAATTTACACTCATGGCTAAAATAATAAGTACAGCATAATGATTTTCCTATGCAAGTAGTAGACATTATTCAATTTATGAGCACAATTTAGAAGAATATTTCTTGATTATTTACAAATATATTTCAGATATTTGCAATAATGATATCGTGCTACAGTATTTATTATTCTGACCATTAGTGTATCTATGTATATATATGTGTGAGTGTGTGTGTGTGTGTGCTACACTCGTTCAATATTCTTATTTGCTTCGATTATGCTTATTTCCTTTTGGCTTTTTCGAGCACAATGCAACTGATTTCCGTCCATTGAACGCCCACACGAGGACACAGCAGCAGTAGGTTAAGGAGGGCAGGGCATGTCAGGGCATTCATATCCGTCACTCAGTCAATGCAATTACGAAACTAGATTAAAAGCCAAAAGAGCGTCCAACAATGGACGACGACAATAGCAACAACAGCGACAATGGCGCCAGCCAACAATGAGCAGCCGTTCGAAAAATAGTGTCAAAGTACTTTGAGTGCACTTGTACGCAGTGTGCAAAAAGCGTTGCATACACACAGGCGTCATTCAATTACTAGTCGCGCGCGCGCGTGTGTGTGTGTGTGTGAGTGTGTGTGTGTGTATGTGCATGTCAGCCATGTACAGCAGCGGAAGCTTTGGCTTTTACTTCAATGATTAAAGCACTGACCGAATTTCGGTTTACCCTGTACATACATTGCATATGAATTTGTATATGCCCATGCATTTGTGTGTGCGTGTGTGTGTGTGTGTGTGTCTATATATTGATAAAAAGGCTTGCTGTCATCATTGTTGTTGCACACACAAACACACACATACACACCCACGCTCAAGCAGAGCCAGATAAACAGTTTTGTTAGCCTTTTTGTGTAGGAAACTCGATGTTTCCAATTGAACTAGTTACAGATTTTTGTATACTGTTAACAGCTGCACATAGTAAGTACTTTCACACACACACACACACATACATGCACCCATACATGCATATTATTTGTATGTGTGCCACAGTCGGTTTCCATGGAACTAGTTCAGTTTTAAACAACCTCGATTTTCAGCTCAAGCAAAACTTTTGCACTTAAATTGGGTTTAGTAATTCGCTAGAATGAATGACACGAATGACGGCAAGTGGAATCCGATTGCGTTGCCTTTTTTCTTTGTTGTGTTCTATTCTTTTCATTGCCGATCTTCAGTTTCAGTTGTTCTTTCGTTTCGTTTCGTTTCGATTCGTTTCGTTCCAAGTAAATGTGTACATTTCAAATTATGTTTGTCATTGTTGTTGTTGTTTTTACAGAAAACTTGCTTAAAAAGTACAAAAGTTGACAAAGAGCAAAACTTAAAAAATTATAAAAAAAAAATAAATAAAATAAAATACAAATCCAAAAAAAAAAGAAGCGCTAGCGAAACAAGTTTCGCATCAAATCTGAAAACAAAAACAAAGTGAAATCGAAAGAATCAGCGTGAAATACTCGTTCCAAAAAACGATTCCGTTGCGTATTTCGCTGAGGAAGCCAATTTTTGCGTACTACTGAAGGTACTCACAATTTCCAATTGCCTCTCTCTCTCTCTCTCTCTGCCACTACCTTTCAACTTATACTACTACTATTACTACTAAATCAACTACTGCTACTACTTAATTATGTACTAACTATGTACTTGCTACAGAAAGTCCCACAACACTTGCTACTCTTGCTATACTTGCTATACCCTTTCCCAATGCAAGCTAATTAATAAAAATATAAATATAAAGCAAAATATTTCTCGTTCAATTTATAGTTGCAAAAAAAGCACTCTGCTAGCCTACTATCGTTTCTTTAATGCATATTTATGCCCTGCTTATTGTTATTATTATTATTATTTATTATTTTTAATATCGTATTGTAATGTGTTTCCATGCAAATATGAACACTTGAAATGTACATACCATATACATATATATATATGTGCTCGTCAGACCCAGATATAAAAACCAATATGTAAAATAAAACCAATGTATTTGCTCGTTGTTATACCCTTGCAGTGGTTGTTTTTAGTTATGTCATGCAACATGCGACTTTTCCGAAAATAATGTATATATATATATATTCCTGATCAATAGCAACATCCAACTCGATATAGTTTCTATACAAACTTTTTGCTCAGTTTGCAGCTTTGCATATATTCTTCTTTTTATGACCGTACTCGACCGGATCGGACAACTATATCGTATAGCTAAAATGATATAGGAATGATCAGTCGAAAATTAAGTACATTTTACTTTTTTGTTTTTCAAAAAATCCATTTTACACTTTTGCAACACAAGTCTGCAAGGGTATTTCATCTTCGGCTTGCCAGAGATAGCCGTAATTTCATGTTAAAGCTTGCTTTTTCCACGTTGGTATATAAATATGTATATATTTGTTTGCTTTCAATACCTTTATCTCACTATAATTTAATTTTAAGATCAACGACATTTATTTTTAAATTGGCATGACGTAGTTTCATTTATTCCGAACACAATTCTAATTACGCTCACAATAATTAATGTTCAGCGCTTTGAAGCGACTTTTGTTGGCCAAAAAATCTGATGAATCTTTTTTTTTTTTTATGCGATTATTTTGCTGCGTGTTCCATTGTATAAGTAGGTGACCTTTGCCGCAAAAGCCGAAAACTCTTAATTAATTATATTTGTATTATGTGCTGATTGCACATTGTGTACAGATTTATCCTTTGTGTACCACAAAAGCCGTTACTATAATAAGTTATCTAATGATGATATTGTATTCTATATATTTTGGTTGTTCCCCGCAAATTTAATTACCACTCAAAGTCAGCGCTGTTCTTTAGACTAACAAATTGACATGATGCCTGTTATAGAGATTGACGCGCGTATCACATATAGAATTGATTGCATTTTCCATTTGCATTTTCCAGCAGAAGAATTATTTATATTAGCATAATGCACATTACGCTTTAATTGGCTGCTGCACTTCTTCTTCTTACCAGGCAAAGGTCAAGAAATAATTAATATATATATGTATATATGTGTGTATTTTAGGCAATTTTTGTAAAATTAGAGCAGATCAATTTGTGTGTTGTGGGTTCTACGTAAAAATTGATGAGCGGCACGCGCTCGATTTATATGCTAGCGAGAGTATATAGCTTTTATTGTATATAACATACGATATGCTATATACACGACTTGGGGGTTGCACTCGCTGTCGAGGGAAATTGATATAATTTCGATAAACGAAATGGAATGCAGCCGCAGCCGCAGCGACCGGGCGCAATTACGCTTTTTTTTTTTACGCTCTTAATGCCTTCAATTGGCTTTTGAATTAATAATTGAGTCATATTGTATTTAAAAGTGGGTCTCAGAAGCACGGCCGAAAATCGAATCGCATTGCCTGACAGTTTGACAGCTTATGTGCTCCCGTACCTTCCTAGCCATAGATCAAAGCGAACAGTGTTGCCGACTTAGCTTTTTTTGCAGCCGAAAATCGACAGTCTGACAGCTTTATTTGACCAGCTTCCTCGCGTCCCTAGCCATGGATCACAGCCAACAATGTTGCCAAAATTACGGCCGAACCCGATTTGGATAACTCCCGCTCCACCAGTGTTGAAAACTCCCCCTCTCCCTGGCCATAGATCACAGTCAAAAGTGTTGCCAGCTTTGCTTGTTTCTAGCCAAATTCGGCTTTGATCTTGCAGTTGCCTGGCATTCTGGCTTTTTTCCCAACATTGTGTACCTTATCTTCTGAACAAGCTTGTCAATTTACCACAGCTTTTTTTAAGTTATTATTTATCACTCGATTTAGCTACTTTTTTTAATTCGACATTTGCCAACACTGTTACGCGCAGTCGAAGTCCATGTCGAAATCCGATTGCCCGAGGATTCCGGCACGTGCTCAACGCGCGAAGTGCCACTCGAGCTGTGTCTCCAATGCGCCAAAAGTTGACATTGGAGCAGGCCGCAGTCAATACAATTATCAAGCGAAGGTTGGCAATTGTTTGCCTGGTCTTGTTGCTCTTAAACCTGCCCCTTGAGCCGGATGTTTGCGGCTTGTGGCTGCCGCAGGCCAAACTGCCATATAACGAATTTTTGTCGTCCGCAGCACTTGACTTGGCGGCGAAATACCTGCGCTCAAAGCCCAAATCCGAATGCGAAAAGACATCAAATTGACAATAAAGAAAAAAAACAAAAAAACAAGAGAAAAAAAAATAAAACTCAACGAGCCGATGCTTTCCCTTTGATTGCGGTCTTCGAGCCGCATCTCAAGTTCAACTTGAAAGCGGATTAACTATCGATGCGACAACTGTATCTGTATCTGTATCTGTATCTGCAGCAGCAACTGTATCTGTATCTGTATCTGCAGCAGCATCGGTATCTGTATCTGTATCTGCATCTGCAAATGTATCGATGAAGGGCTTTCGTGTCGCTGCAGCCAAATGCACAGCAATTTTGGTAATGCACATTAAATTTGCAAATATTTGCGCATTTCGGAAATACAATTTTAAATTCAAAATTCAAATTCAGATAATTGCATTTGATGCATGGCAACTGCACCATATTGTGAGCGCTTAATTGCGTGAAATTGATTTTAGTTTCGGATACCCTGTAGCCATTGCAAGTGGGTAAAGAGGGTATAATAGGCTAAGGCTGAGTCTATTTAGCTGTTTGTCTGTGTGAACGTCTGGCTTGCGGGTATTACACATCTAGAGATCGGGAATTTGAAACATATCTTTTCATATACCATTTATAGATCGAGTTTATAGTTTTTTTCTCGATGTTTTGTTCCATTTTTATAATATATCCATTAATAGTAATTTTGAGACAGAAGTGAAGGTAACTATCCCTCCAACCTGAAAACCTTCTCCACTCCTCAATAATAAAAAAAAACACATGTTTTAGTCTTAGTGTGACTTTTTATTTATCAACATTTGTCAGACCCTGAACATTTCATAGGTATCAGACTCTAAACACCAAAGTTATTCGAGAAAGGGAAAAGGAGAGCTCAGCTAGGGTATCTTCAAGTTGGGCACTTTCTCGACGCGAGCACTCTAACTTATTTGCACTCGCTTTGTCGATGGAAATGTTAAACAAATGTTTGTATTGGCGCATCAAAATATTCGCTCTTTTCGCTTTGGAAATGCTCCGTTTGGTTTGCGTGCCAAACGGGCTGAGATTGCGACTGAAACAGAGCCCAACGCAGCCGCCTTTCGAATGCCCCCGCCACAATTTGTAGATACAAATGAATAAACATACATACGTGCATGTGTGTGTGTGCGTGTATCTGTGTGTGTGTGTGGGTGTGTGTGTGTTTGTGGAGCGTTGTTCTACGCATATATAAATATTGGGCAAGCTTTTGAATTGTTGTTCTTTCTTTTGTTCGCACACAGAATTATGCACAATGCATATATTCATTTGTATAGATCGAGTATTTTTTTTTTTTTATTTTTAAATAGTTTTTCCCCAGTCCAGCGGGCACAGTGTGCTGAGCACTATTTGCACTGGCCGCAATTTGCCCTTGAAAATTTCTATTACTTTTAAATGGAGTTATCCAACAAGAGTTTCGGCTAGACAATAGACTAGATCGAGACATTAGTCTAGGATTTGAACTGGGATCCCTATGAATATTTCACATTTCGGATATGTGGCCTGGCTTCAGAGTATCTCCTAGTCGGGCACTGCCGACTGTAGCACTCATCAATTTATTTAAAAGCGTTTCTTGTCTAATGATTTTTTTTCTTGTTAAGTATCCGATAAGGTTATATGCCCTTTCTATCAATAGCTTCCACGTATTCTCAAAGCATTTACATTTTATCCACGCATGCCTGGACCAGACCCTAGGCCATATATATAATACATTAATGTTCGGCGCAATCTGTCGCCGTCTTATCTTATCGGTAGCTTTTTGGAAAAATTTGATTTAGAGCACTTCCGCTCAGATGCATTTGCCGGTAAGGGGGAGGGCCTCGGCTTGTGCTATATATCTTTGATATGTGCACAGTGTGCACGTTCGTCTAGACCTTTATTACACGTATATATATATCTGTAGTTGTATCTGTAGCTGTGTATCTTTATCTGAGTGCCATGCGTGTTTCTAAACATTAATTTAGTTCAATTTTTCGCGCGATCAAAAGCAGATGAGCATGTCGCCAGCTCGAGTCCATTGTATATAAATTGTATCATATGTATATATCTATATATATATATATATATATATATATATATGATGAACTCACAAGTAGCTTGAGCTCGAACCCCCCCTCCCCCTCTTCTCCACCCCTTGCCCATTCACATGGACTAACACAGACAGTTGCACAATCAATATTTATAATTAACAAGTTCTTTTGTTTATACGTTTGTGTCTCTCCGGGCGTAATTTCCACACCGTTTCCTGCTCACTTTAGCGTAGCCTCTGTCCAGTTTCATTTTTCCGATCTCCCGCAACCGCAACCCGCACCTCGCACCCCGCACTCCGCACCCCGCTGTACATTCTTTGCCAATTTCAAATAGTTAAATTTGTGTGTTTGCCGGCGTCTATCGCCATTCATTCTGCATCATTTAGCCGGTTCTCATCCTCCTGTCTCCCTGTGTGTGCCTCTTGTAGCGCCAGCCGAGACAACTTGTGCCCCGACGATCAGCAGCAGCAGCAGCAGCGGCATTCGCACTCGCACCAGCACTTGGTGCGTCAGTCTCTGATCAGCCTCAGCTACGCACAGGCGGGAACGAACTCCGCGGCGGCGGCGTCGACTGGGCCCATACCCGTTCACTCGCAGTACTCGGCATCGACCTCTGTGCGCAACAGTCCCAGTCCCAGCCCGGCGGCGGATCAGCACAGCTGCAGCAGCGGCAGCCTTGGAGTTCCACGCAGTCGGCGCGGCGAGCCGCCGGATCGAGATCGTGACAGAGATCGGGACAGAGATCGGGACGGGGACAGCGTCTCGCTGCTGAGAGGCGCCGCTGGCTTGGCCCAGCTGGGGCTTGATGAGCCGCGCGCGCAACGGCAGCGCAGCAGCAGCAGTCGTCTATCGAGCATCGGCATCTCGAAGCAGAACTCCAGCGACAGCCGCAGCGGACTGCGCATTCTCGATCCGGCGCCCTCGCACAGCCACAGTCCGGTCAGCTGCGGTACGCAGAGCGTGAGCAGCACTGGCGGTCACTCGGCTCTCTACGATGCCTGTCACGAGTACACGCGCAGCTTGAGTGCAGCACCAGCATCCGGGCGCGACCAGGAACAGGAACAGGAGCAGGAACAGGATCAGGCGTCAGCAGCTGGCGGCGCTATTGGAGCAGCGCCCGGTGGCCTGCTGAAGAGCCATTATAGCGAGCAGCAGCTATCGGAGCCGCACTTCACCAATCTCAATCTCAATCTCAATTTGAGCAGCGACTACGATACGGGCAGCGACAAGCAGCAGCTGGTCAATCAGACGTACATCTTCAAGTGCATTGCGAACAGTCCGTCATTTCTGCGCACCAACAAGATCAAGGAGCAGTCCAAGAAGTTGCGCAACTTATCGCTTAAAACGCGCACCGCCAAAAAGAAGGGTCAGATCATTTCCAAGTCGAACGCCGTCTCCGACAATTCGCTGCATCCGGGCGACAAGTATCTGAACTTGTATCTGGTCGAGAAGAAGCACTCGCTGCAGCCACAGCCACAGCCCAATCCAGCTGCCAGCTGCTCAGCCTCATCCTCTTCCTCAGCGGCGGCAGCAGCGTCAGCGGCGGCACGTCAACAGCAGCTGCCGGCCCTGTCGGCGGTTGCGGCACGACAACAGCAGCTGCTGCTGAACGGCTCGCTGAAGGGCAAGACGAAGACGTTTCCCGCATATCGAGCATCGGTGCGCAGCGAGAGCGACGAGAAGGAGTATCGGGGGGGCAGCAACACGATACCAACAACGGGCAAGAGTCCGCCGGTGCCGCACTCGCTGGCGGCCAAGATCAGCGGCAAGAACTGCAACAATCTGCTGCACAGCGCCGGCAACAAGCTTAGCGTCAGCAGCAACTCCTGCCACAAGCTACATGCCCACGGACAGGGTCACGGTCACGGACAGGGACAGGGACACGCCGTCTACAGCACACAATCGCCGAAGAGCTCCGTTTCGAGCAACGGGCATCTGAATAAGTACTGCCTGACGGATCTGACGCGGCGCAAGGCCGAGTTCAATCGCCAGCTGAGCGCGCCGACAGACTACACGCACCACTCCACGTCCAGCAACGGCTCCCAGCAGGGCTCCGAGGCGGCCCATGAGCCGGTGGGCGAGTCGACGATCACAGTAGCCAGCGCCGGAGTGCCTGTGGGACACGGACAAGCGCACGGCCACACGCGAAGTCTTGGCGGCGGCGCCGCCGGTCAGGCGTCCACGGCGCCGGCCACACTCAAATCGCTGCAGCTTCAGCACAACTTTGGTGTACACCATCCGCCGGCACGGGCCACGTCCACGTCGTGCACCAATAGCTTCAATCGGCGGCACATACGCCGGCACAAGAGCAAGCTAAGCGAGCGGTGAGTATTCGCTTTTACAATTCTTATTCTTATCAAGCACATTAACCAGTTGAGCTGTCAACCAGTTGCCCGGTTACAATGTCTTGGCCGGACCTGGAGACGAGAGCGACGCTCCAATTGCTGCGCGAATTACGCATGCAAAGTTGTCGTCGCTGTGGTAATACCCTGTGGTTATACCCTGTAACATGTGAGAGGGCATTATGGTTTTTTGTGATTGTATGTAACAGATGGATGGTGTCATGTCCGTCTGTCTGTCGACCCTTACAGCTGTCTGTCCGCGCAGATCAATATTATTTTACATGTTTATTTCAAGTAATCGATAACTCAATTCCTTAGCGCAGCATCGATAAGTATCGATATACAGATTAGATGATTTTAATCATATCTCGAGAATTATGAGCGCTAGATATATCAAATTTATTATATAGCTAGGTTTTCGTATAGTATGCACAGATCCAGAATATTATTTGGATGCCTTCCAACACTCAAAATTGAAGACTTTTTGAGGCGTTTACAGGGCATATTCTGGTCGAGCACGCTTTCCTAGAGCGCTCTTACAAGCAGTTGTTGTTGTCGTCGTTAAATGCGCGTCTCATGTCTTCTTACCGGTTTTTGTTAGCTGCTTATCGAGCCACATTTGCATAATGCCGTCTGCGAGCCTCTGTCTGAGTCTGAGTTTGAGTCTGGGATTTACACTGGCCAGGCACTGGCCGCGTAATGAGCTTCTAAACCGCGCGCAGTGAACTTCGTTCCACAACAAAAAAAAAAAGAGAAAATACCCGATCGCAATAAAAGTGCCTGACACAGTGCAGGATCAATCGAGAACGGGATCAGGATCAATCAGCAGCTGATCAATCACGAGATCGCCCAGTGAAAAAATGGATGACCGTGAAATTGATACGAGGAATTGATTGTTATTTGATTGCGATTGCGATTGCCATTGTGTTTTGCGCCATTATCATAATCATTTGCTTTTCCCAGTGACTCGTCGTCTATGAAACAGAAAAAAAATCTATAATTTATTGCACTAGATTGTCACTTGAGAAAACAATGTCGGAACCCGTCGCCCGTCGCCCGTCACCCGTCGCCGTCTCCACATTTCCATCTATATAATCCGTGTTGTGGTTGTTAGCCTCCCAGCTCGGGCTGGGGGCAACCCGTTAGACCAATTCATTTACATAAATTCTAGAGATAATTTTCGTTCGGTTGTTTATAGTTTTTTTTGTTTGTGTTTGTTTTTTTTTTTTTTTTTTTATGTGCTTTTATTGGCGTAAGTTTTTGAAGAACAGCTACAAATTATAGTCGAGCTATAATTTGCGACGCTGTTCGTCGCAAAATCAATTAAAAAGCAACGCAACGCAACAAATGTTGTTTCTATTTATTTATTGTGCAACCAGCAATCGCGAGAGCATCAGAACAGGTTATCACGTTGCCTCGGCAACAGGCTGCAAAATAACTTACAAAGCAAAAAATAAATAAGAGTAAAGAAAAACTTGAAAAAAGTACTAAATTGAAACGATCAGCGCAATGTAAGAAATCAACAACAACAACAACAGTAAGAAGAAGTAGAAGAAAATTGCTCGCTTGTGTCAGTTGATCAATTATTTAATTAGGCGCCAAATACGCTTTTCGGCATTCCGATGCTGCCCAGCACTGGACGCGCCGCACTTAAATCGATTGCCACAAATTGAAAGTCGAGGTAAGGCCTGCAAACAAAATATAAACAAACAAATAAACAAACAAACAACGAATCAAACATAACAAACCGACTGGAGGACGCTCACGACGAAAGCAGTCGAAATTAACGAAAGTACAAACGAACGAACGAAGTTTTCGATACCGAATCGGATGCGCGCTCGTCGTGTTCGCAACTCGACGTTCGGTGTTCGATGTTCGGTGTTCGGCATTCCGATTCGATATTCGAGAAGCGGCCGCTTGTTCGGAGTGTTTGCCGGCGGCGCATTTCTGTTGCCGCCGCGACTTAGTTGCGCTCGGTTAGCGGGCTTGTAATAACTGAATTGTGATAAATTACGGTATATGTAGAGCGGCAACTACATATGCATATCTGTGTGCGTGTATATGTAACAGACGCGAAAAACGATAACATTCAGTTACGGTCGTCAAATCAGTGAAAACAGCTGCTTCAACACGTTTCAAGTTTCAATAAACAAATTAACCGAAACCACAAATCAAGAAACGTAATCAAAGCCGAAACCCAAACTGCACACTGTATGTGTATATATATATATATATATATATGACTGGATAACAGTTATCCGATTGGCAGTGTATACAAATACATGTGCATATATGTATGTATATATAGAAATAGTTGTAGTTGTTTGGTGCACGGCGTCGATTTGTGGCGTAGCTATTTTTACAGTGCCTACCATTTCAAAGGAACTAATAATAATACTTCATAATAATAGCAACAACAATAATATTCGTTCGTAATAAATTCATTAGGCTAATGCGAGCGATGATTAAATTAAATCAGCTTCAACAGGCTTAATTAAAACGAAGCTTTCCCATTTAAAAACTACACTCAATTGAGTGTGAACAGTGAACAGATCAACGAAAAAAAAAAAAAAAATAACAGAAAAAATAATTCAAATAAAAATAAAAAAAAAAAAAAAGTAAATGAACAGAACAGTGCACGCGTCTACTTTACCAAACAATAGACATCCATCACAGCAGAGCGCACACAGACCACGCGATTTCGTGTGCCAATAGGGCAACATTTCCGCAACGGACAGAGACAACGGCGACGGCGACGGCGACGGAGACGGCGTCGGGAAAGACCTTGACAATCACCGAATTGAAGGTGAGAACTGGATGCTGCCACTGCACTGCGACTGTGCATTGTGCGTGTGCAACAATTATAAGAATTATAATAAAAAAAAAAAAACTAAACGAAACGAAACTAAACTAAATCGACAATAAACTTTCACTGGCTAACCTTAGGCGTGTACTTGTAACAACAGATATCTACAGATATCTATGGGATATCTGCTTCCATATATATATAGAATATTTATTTATTAATTTGCAAACGCGTTTTGTTTTTCATCTTTCCCACAGCCTGCTGAACGGCGATAGCGAAGAATCGGTGCGCTGCTCTTACTGCTCCGTATTGAATGTGAATGAGAACGACTTGCGCATTTCATTTGAGAACACCTGCACCGACTCCCTGGTCACCGCTTTCGATGATGAGGCGCTGCTAATATGCGACCAAGGAACCGAAATGGCAAGAGCAAAGGTTTTATTTGTACATGTAGCACAGGTAACAGGGCTGCAAATCCAATCCAAAACCAAACGGAGTTCACAGTGGTTCGGCTAACATTTCGTGCCGATTGCCTGTCGTGTGGCTGGGATCGTAAGCCTGGTTTTACACCTTCGTTTAGCCAGATTTGGTTTCAAACCTTTTTAACGAAACAAAGGAGTTATTTTATAGCTGCCTGTACGGCGACCAAAACGCAGTTTCGGTCTAAAATTAAACTTCCAATCAAAATTAGCATCTATTTTTAGATATTTCCAAAGTTGTATGCATTAATGTTTGTTATGAAGCCAAGCCAATATCGTTTTGGTTCGAGTCTCGATGCAGGCAATTGGTTTGGTTTCAAGTTTCGCTCCTTAGCATATTTCGAGCTCGAAATGGTTTGCAGCCTTGATATGAGACCATCATTCATCTAGTATATAGCATTACGTGACATATAGATACGATACATATATAACTCATTTCACTCCGACTTTGGTAATTGAGGCAGCTGGCACCGCCGGTCTGTGAATCAGTAACAACTAATCGATTATTTGGTCTTCCCATGTTGACTTTAATTTACACAGGTACACTTTGATGATGTGTCGTTGTACGGCACTCCGAAAGAGGAGCCAATGCCCAATATACCGATAGTCTCGGAAAAAGTCTCGGCGAATTTCCTAAAAAGTCAATTGCAATCATGGTTCCAGCCGACAGACAATCGTCTGGCCATGAAATTATTTGGCAGCCGCAAGGCCTTGGTCAAAGAACGCATACGTCAGAAAACTTCCGGGCATTGGGTAATACACCCGTGCAGTTCATTCAGGTATGCCACATGATTTTTTTCTATGCAACATATATATTTATATATATACCATATATCGTTGATTTCGGACAGGTTTTACTGGGACCTTTGCATGCTTTTATTATTAGTAGCAAATCTTATTATCCTGCCAGTCGCAATATCATTCTTCAACGATGATCTGAGCACACGATGGATTGCCTTCAACTGCCTAAGTGATACTATTTTTTTAATAGATATTGTAGTCAATTTTAGAACAGGTAATGTACAGTCTTTTCACTTATTTAATATACAGGTGGAATTGAAATTGTTAATTAATCGATCGATCGATATCCAATTATAGGAATTATGCAACAAGACAACGCTGAACAAGTAATATTGGATCCAAAGCTTATAGCTAAACACTATTTAAGAACCTGGTTTTTTCTCGATTTGATTTCGTCGATACCATTAGATTATATATTTTTAATTTTCAATCAAGTAAGTTCATGTATTTGTTTGACAAACAGTACGCAACATTTTGATTAAGATTATGAAATTGCAGGATTTTTCTGATTCTTTTCAAATATTGCATGCCGGACGCGCTCTGCGCATCCTACGTCTAGCCAAATTACTTTCCCTAGTTCGCCTGCTCCGGCTCTCCCGTCTCGTGCGCTACGTATCCCAATGGGAGGAGGTCTATGTAAGTATACGCTTTCATTTCTCCAACTACTCTTAACTCTTCTTTTGCATAACCAGTATATGTATATATTTATATATATATATATATATTTTGATCATATCTGATAAGTACATAACATGAATTTCGATTTCGATTTCGATTACGCGTTCAGTTTTATTTCACTTTTATTTCGTATCAAATCAGTTCTAATTTCGCAATCAAATCTCTGACCCTAATCATTGCAATACATTTTACACAAAAGTTAAGAAAAATCTTAGGTCTAGTACAGTTCAGTAAAAAGCAGTTTTCAGAGTTGTCTATATAGTTCAAAGTGCTCACTCTTCTCTCATTCTGTACAAGCTCAAAGGGAATATATATATTCAAATCTATAAATATGCTAAATATGTTAAGGGCGCGCAATATGTTCAAAATCTAAACCTCTTTTCATTTGTTATATGGCTGTGTCTTTGATTTCGGTTGAATAATGTTCTCTTTGTGCTATCATTTTTGTTTCTATCTTTTACTTATATGTATCTGTACTGATATGCGTCCAAATTCCCCAATCATATCTGTGCCCAATTCCATGCTGTACAAAAATGCCCAACATCAAGAAATTTGTACATTTCACATACGTATATCTGCAAATGTTTGTTTAACAACTTGTGTTGCGCTGCGCTCCAAGTCCAACTCCCCGAGCCCTTCTAGCTGCCCCCCACCCCCAACCCTTCCCCCTCTCTCTAAAAGAAAACAACAACAAGAACACCCCAACAAAAATCGCAAAACATTTTCACAATATATCGCGCTTTGAACCTTCGCTCTGTCGCGGGGGGAATGGTTTTTTCTTTTCTCTTTTCTTTTGCCTATTTTCATGTTAATTGTTTAAGTCAAAATCTTTGTTTTGAAATTTGATTTGTTTTCTTCCATTTTTTTGAAAATTGTTTTTAATTTTTTCGGTTTTCATTTCTTGCTGACTTTTGAGCACTGAAAAAAAAAAACCAATTCTTCATTGCACTATGTACAAAAACAAAATCTTTAAAGACTTATTTTTCCGAGTCGAAGTGCCACAAATGAGAAACATTTCAAACATCTTTTTCAAGTGTTGGTAAATGCTTTTTCTACACAACACTTTCTTGCGCAACGTCACCCAAAAAATGAAAATAAAATGATAAGAGTACAACAGAAATTTGAACATTGTCTAACTTGGACTCGAATTTATTGTTTTATGCTTATATACATATGTATTTATTTAACAACTGTCAACTTTATGCAAACCAAATATATATGTATAATATAAGTATGAATGAAATTCTCGCTCGCATACTACAAATAATTAAAAAATAAAATTTGCTTATTCGAAATCAGACTAAATAACAAAAAAAAAAAAAAGTACAAATAAGAAATAAGAACAACAAATATTTAAATTAACAAACCACAAAACCTAGCTAAATCAGGGCCTATAATACCTGTGTATATATATATGGTTTTAGATTCTGCAGAATCTACAGAAAAAAAGTGCTGATCGCAGAGGGAGAATGCACAGAAAAGACAAAGATGGCTTGACAAAAAGCAACCTAATTCTCAAGGTAACAAACCCAAACAACAACAAAACATCTTTCAAATTTTTATCAAATAAAAATCAACACTTAAAAAAAAAAAAAATTACAACAACAAATTCAATTTTTGATAAACAAAAACAAAAAGCCTTGATTGATTGACATTATAATTATGTATTATTGGTGCAACATAACCTCACATTTTTGAGATATGATTGAACCAAAATTGAGTTTTAGTGCATATTTCGTTGGTTCGTTCGTTCGATTGTTCGATTGTTCGTTGATCATGTTTGCTTGATTTTAATGTTCGTTCGTGCATTCTGTAAATTTTCTAAGACTGCCTTTTTATAAACATATATTGATTGATTGATTGATATACATACATAATTTCTTGATTTAACGCATCAAAAAAAAAAAAAAAAAAAAAAAAAAAAAAAAAAGCCTGCAGTTTTTATAATGAAAAAAAGAAAAAGAAACAAAATAATATGAAAGAAATGTAACAACAATATGAGAACTTCGGTCAAATCGAAGCTGGTTTTTATGCACTTCACTGTGTGTGGATTGATGTAGAAGTTCTTTGGAAATATTCAACTCCATGTCAATCATTTTATATAGAGCTCAAGGGAAATATAACCATGTCCGATTTGTTAGTCTGTCTGCAGCTGAAATCATTCTTAAGCTGAGTACAAACTTGCCCTTAGATAAGTTATTCCGAACATATTCTGTCCATTAGAGAAGTAGACTTCATGCATGAGCATGTCTAGATCAATAACTATTTAGCCAAAGTTTAGTTTTCGTTCTAGTTACTAGTTTGTTATTTTTTTTTCTTCTTTCATTTCTTTTCAAAACTATTTTTAGTTAGCGCAGTGTATATATACAGTATTGAACAACGCCTGTGAATTGCATCTAGACACAATATTTAGGTATCGATGGCAATATTAAATCAACGCGAATTCGAATTCGAATGCGAATGACAAACAACAACACATGTTTTTATCGAAAACGTCAAAAGAGTTTTTATACAGTTTGTTCAATGCTTTTTGCTTTAACACTTCGGCAAATACTTACGATAAACATGCAAACGATATTGGTTTGCCAGTAAAAGAAAAAACAATATATATCTCATAATCGTAGTCTGTTGATGAATTGTATATAACGCAGCAACAACAACAAATGTCCAACACAAGTTCACCCCTCCGCTCTCATGTACAATCGCTGAAAACAAAAGAACCGTTACGGCCAGTTGTTTGTACCGTTGCTTTTGCGTAAGCTTTGTTTTTTTTTTGCTCAAAATGCTGCACCCACTCGGCTCACAGTACACCAACAACAACAACATAACAACAACAAGAACAACAACAAGAACAACTGCAACAAGTGCATTGCCGCGAACTTCAATGTTAATTGAACAACAACAACGAACACGAACACTGTACTACATAATTGATACGATATATATTAAGTAGTTAATTGCAAACATAACACATAAAGTCTTGAACGTATTGTATAGCATACATTTGCGGGCGAGTGCCAAAAACGCTTAACTGCATTTGCCGCATACTAGCGCATTTTTCTTATCAATTCAATATCGTATTCAGCTGCTACAACCACAACTACAACAACAACAACACACGTCTGATATCGTAATCAATGCTTTTGCTTTTGTTTGGCGCCAATTTGCGCCGTGCGCTTTGTTGCTCCTATTCTACAACAACAACAACAACTACTACTACAACTACTCTCTTCTACGCTTTACTTAACTGTACTCTCTACTCTACTCTACTCTACTCTACTCTACTATTTGCTACAACAACAGCCTTAACTAATAAAGCTCTGCTACTGTTGCCAACTTAAGAGTATGTTTTGTTAAATGTTTTGGTTTTTGTTTATTGTTTTTGGTTTTCTCTTTTGGTTTTTTGTTAATTGGTTTGGTTATGGGCTTACGTTGCGTTATCTTTGTTTCTTCTTCTTCTTCTTCAACGTCTGTTTATCTGTTGTACAAAGATTTCAGCAATGACTCGCGTGGCGATTCCTCGTTTCGTAAGTCTGTGTAAATTTTGGCCAAGAGCTCAGTCGATCAGCTGGCACATTCCGTAAAAGTATTTTACACACACACACATATACAAACACACAGCTACTCACAGCAACAACATGAAAAACAACAAGAAAAACAACGGTACAACTTTGTACTCTTATAATTCTGTCCATGGCTTTATGGGTTTTCACTTATATTTTTGTTACTTTGATTTTGATTTTTGTTCTAAACTCTGTACAGAAAACGTAGCACTAACAACTGAGAACAAAATAGAAAACAAAAATTATAGAAATAAAACGCTTATTTGGTTGTCGAATAACAGTTTCAACAACTTGAATCTTTGAACTGCTTAGTGAGCATAATTAAATATCTGTATATTTAAACGTACTACCCACACACACACACACACACACACACACACACACACACACTCACACTCGTTTAGCTAAGTATTTAATTATTTTTGAAACTGAGCTAAAGTTAAGATGAGCACTTGTAACATAATAGCAGCTGATTTGCACTAAAAAATATTTAAGAAACTTCCAAAAAAAAAAAAACAACTACGTAGAAATGGTTTTGATTCATTGCTCTCTCAGGTTGTGCCACACACTGTTGTATATTTGCCTAACATTAGACTCTCACATATGTATCATTTTTATTGTCTTATATTTATTTCTTATACTATCCAATTGTATACTGATTGATAGCGATCTTCTACTGTCTGCATCTATACATACATATATAGAGCCAGCTAATATATGCGTGTGCGTGCGTGCGTGTGTGTGTGTGCGGCAGTTTATTCCGAACTGAGCTCAAAGTGTTGCATACTTCTCGGCGCCACTGTGACTGAGAATTGGGCATAAACTGCCAGCTCCGCTGCACAGCACACAAATATTCTTGTATTATTATTATTATTATTATTATTATTGTTTTTAATTATATTATTTTGGTTGCTTTTCTGGCTGTGGCTTGGCGTAGTTTTTGTTTTGCTCTTTGGATGAAGCCACAAAAAAGTTTCAAATTGAAAAGAAGTTTTGGTTTTTACTTGAGATACTTTGGTTTGTCGTATATTTAAATGTAACACACACAAACACACACACACTCACATACACATGCCACACATATACAACACACACACACACACACACACACATGTATAGACAGTGCGGTGCTGGCCTTTCGTTTGATGTGCACTCTTATTGATAACTCTGGTTGCAGTTCCTCAATATGGCCTCGGTTTTTATGAGGATCTTCAATTTAATTTGCATGATGCTCTTAATCGGACACTGGAGCGGCTGTCTGCAGTTCTTGGTGCCAATGTTACAGGGTTTTCCATCTAATTCCTGGGTATCCATCAACGAGCTACAGGTATGCGTGTTGAATATTACGATATGCCGCGATATTATCGGTATAAAAATGAACTTCATCTAAACTATGGTCATTTTTTAGGAATCATATTGGCTGGAGCAATACTCATGGGCATTATTTAAGGCCATGTCACATATGCTGTGCATAGGATACGGCAGGTAAACTGAACGATTTCGAATCTTCTTGATCAATCAAATAAGACGTTTTATTCGACTTTCAGATTTCCGCCACAATCACTGACGGACATGTGGCTGACGATGCTCTCGATGATATCGGGCGCCACATGTTATGCATTGTTCCTTGGTCATGCGACCAATCTAATACAGAGCTTGGACTCCAGCCGGCGGCAGTATCGCGAGAAGGTCAAACAGGTGGAGGAGTATATGGCCTATCGCAAATTGCCGCGCGATATGCGGCAACGCATTACGGAATATTTCGAGCATCGGTACCAGGGTAAATTCTTCGATGAAGAGTTGATACTTGGCGAGTTGAGCGAGAAACTGCGCGAGGATGTCATCAACTACAATTGCAGGTTAACAACCCACACAAATGTTTCCCATGTTATTCCCCAAACATTACTGTATAATTATTGGATAACTTTTCGCAGGTCCCTCGTGGCGTCAGTGCCTTTTTTTGCTAATGCCGATTCGAATTTTGTTTCCGACGTAGTTACCAAACTGAAATACGAAGTTTTCCAACCAGGTAATCTGAATTTCGAAAGCCATCAAGATTAGCTCTAACCAAATTGTATTCGCACTCAGGTGATATTATCATAAAGGAGGGCACGATCGGTACAAAGATGTACTTCATACAGGAGGGCGTTGTGGACATTGTCATGGCCAACGGCGAGGTCTGTATTGAATTTTCCGCACGAGCAGGGCTGCAAAAATGTACCACGAATTTGGCACTGGTTCGGTTTACGGTGCAAAACAACTCTCTGTTTTTTTCGATACGGTTTGTGAAGCTGGTTTCAAATGTTGTTAGATTTGAACCGAACCACTTTAATAAGATGTGGTTCGGTTCAGTATTTCTCTAACGGGGTGGTTCGTTCACGTTTCGGTTCACAGTGAAACTGTCGAACCGGTTCAAAGTCGACTTGCAGCCCTGCCCACCAGTGTTGCCTAAGCACATAATAATACAGGGCATCTTTGTGTATTGAACAGGTTGCCACCTCGCTATCGGACGGCTCCTACTTCGGTGAGATCTGTTTGCTGACCAATGCGCGCCGGGTGGCCAGCGTGCGAGCCGAAACCTATTGCAATCTATTCTCGTTGAGCGTGGATCATTTCAATTGCGTTCTGGACCAGTATCCGCTGATGCGCAAGACCATGGAAACCGTGGCTGCCGAGCGGCTAAACAAGATTGGCAAAAATCCGAATATAATGCAACAAAAGGACGAGCAACTAAGCAATCCAGAATCGAATACAATTACGGCGGTGGTCAATGCATTGGCCGCCGAGGCCGACGACTGCAAGGATGAGTAAGTTTACCAGCCGTAAAGAAGTTAATTCATGATTTTTCCTTTAACATTTTGTTTTCCATTCGCTTCTAGTGACATGGATCTCAAGGAGAATTTACTGCATGGGTCTGAGTCGAGCATTGCTGAGCCGGTGCAAACGATACGCGAGGGCCTGCCACGGCCCCGAAGCGGCGAGTTCCGGGCTCTGTTCGAGGGAAATACTCCATGACACTGAGGCATCACAACCAGCCCAATCGGCGTGCATCGAGCCACCATCTGAGTAGCGGTTCGCAGTCCCCGAAAAACAAAAGCAAATAGCAATACACAATACACATACATGGGACACACACAGACACATATACACACACACCCACACCCACACACACATGCGTATATAATAATTAGTAAAAAAAGAAAACCCTAAAAAAAAGTACAGCAAAATGATGAATCAATTTACGGTAGTCTACATATATATGCAATTGCGATTTAGTAGAAAATGACAACAGCAACAACAACAACAAAAACAACAACAACAAAAGAGATAGTAAACGTATTACACAACAATGTCCTCAATAATTATTCATAATTTCAGCTCCGCTAACTGTGATGAACTTTAATATAAGAATCGAAAAAAAAAAAAATGAAAAACTAAAAAAAAAAATGAGTACATGAATAACTTATACGATAAAATTCAGCAGCCAGTTAAAAGCATTCACACAGACACGACACGGCCACACACACACACACACACAGACGCAGACTTACAACACACATACATATATAAGTAGTAAATCTACATGATAAGTTTTATGCCCACGATATTGTAACGGATAACGAAGTGAATAGGTGTTAGTCCTATGGACCTACTACTACTAACAAAACTCTCTCACACACAGACAAACAGACAGACGCACACACACAACCCCACACGTGCATGAACTTATGATATAATGAAAACCGTTACGTTATGCATACAACCAAAAAAATAAAAACAACAAATGGAATATAAATGCGCGTAGCTATATTATGTACTCAAGAGCAAACCAAGAATTATGTATTATTGCGATTATATAGCATATTTAAATACGCATTGCAAAATGAAAACAACACTCAGCAATACGAGTGCACACGACGAAGAACAAAAACAAAATACAATATTATCAAAAAAAAAAAAAAACAAAAAAAGGAAGCAACTTTAACGAAATGCATTAGTAGTTGAACTATTAGTTTTTCACTCACAACAAAAAAAAAAAAAACGAAAAGAAGAGAATAGAATACCAACACACACTCTGACACAACGTAGTAGAGCAGCCTCAAAAAAAATATATATAAAATGAAAATTATATAAAAAAAAGAAAACCTCAGGGTGCCGTCGTTTCAACGGTTACCAACAGCAGCAGCAGCAGCAAAAGCAACATACATAAAGCATTGACTATATACACAACATACATACATAAAAACAAACAAACAAACAAACAAACATATATACAAAACGAACAACTACATTTAATAGATAATGTTGTCTTTTATAGGGAATTGTTATAACGATTCAGTTAAATGAAAAAAAAAAAATAATGTATTTATTGCAACAACCTTTATTTTAATTCAGCAATTCCGTTTCAACAAATACTATTTAGTTGCGAGCGAGATCTTTTGCGTAGTCTTTGTTTGATCTTATTTTCCAACATAAATCAAGCGTAAGACAACAGCAATTGTTTCGAAGATTTATGGTAACTTAGTATTTTATTATACGTAAACTAAATAAATGAAAAGCAGAAGGACAGCGTTTGCCTTAACATAACACTACGCGAATTGTTTCATTTACGAATATATTCAATTATATACTATAACAAAATCATAATTAATAACAGTTTCACAGTCAATTCATTTGTGACTTTCTGACCTATTCAAATGACAATTTATAAAAAGATACAATCGCTAAGGCTTGTAGCAGCGGCGCACCCAACCCGACTCGATGAGTGCCACGTTGATGTTCTTTGTGTGCGCCGCGGCATCCGGATCAACCAGTATCAATGTGATTGTATCATCCTATAAAATACAAGGTATATATGAGTAAGACAGTGCATTCTAATATTTAAGGTTTAGCCTACAGCATCGTTGATTTTTTCAATTTTAGCATAGAGTCTGCGATAGGACACAATATCGAAGAAGTAGTTGCTGGCCTCCACCGAAAAGCTTGGGCCCTGCCTGGGTGTCACGCAGGCCAGTCTGCCGGGCCAGTATTGCGGCGGCAGGTGGGCAAATTCCTTGCACAAATACTTAAGATCACTGTGGCAGATCCACAATCTTTCGCCCGTATCAACCAGTTCCACCTTTAAAACGAGGTAAATAACTATTAATGCTCATTTATAAGACCGAATTTAAGTACTCGCCTCAATGTTCTTTCTATTACCCGTCTTAATATTCAAAACTTCGACGCGCTGCCAAAGTGTGCCCCTAAAGTGCAGAGCACCTAAATGGCCTATCATTATTAGGTATAATGGTATGGTGTACTTTAACTCATGTACATTGGAGTAGAATCGCCTGCAAGTAAGTGATATAATGTAGATCGAACTATGCTCAATTATGTATTATAGGAAAACTTACTGCATGTTCTCCGACATGTTTTTGTATGCTTCGTATTCCTCGTCGTGCAGCCAAAAATTAAAGTTGTGCGGACTTGCCACCTAAGCATAGAAATTAGAAACTCAACATTGAGTTAGAATAATTTATAGTATTAGCTACCGTTACAAGCTGCACTTCGATGCGATCATCCAATTTGAATTTCTTGTGAACATCTCGTTTGGGCAAGCGATGATCAAAGCGAACTGCTTCCTTGGGATACTCCACACTCATGACACGCTCGTCCTGCATCAAATGTTGCTTTAAAAATGTTTTTCAAGGTACAACAAATTATTACCACAGCAAAAACAGGAATGGCATCCGATTCACTACCATCATCCGAGGAGATGTATTCAATATATGGCTCTTCCCAACTTGGCCGAGTGTTGGCTGTCACACTTGGCTCGACCTTCACCAGATTGACGCAAGATGCATCATTCGTGTATTTGTAGTTCAATACTCGTTCATCCTAAAATTGATATATATCATTTAATTGACAAATATTTAATGATTGCCGAATCTTTACGTGCCACAGCATACGCTGGAATGGCATCCTCATCGCAGCCCTCATCAGTTGATAGATATTCCTTGTGGCGTTCCTTTGGCTTTTCGGCCACAGCTTGTTTGTCCAACACAGGAGCTTTATTGGAGTTGACTTCTATTTCGCCCTGCTCAACATATATTTCCAAATGGTTCTCTTCACTCGAAGAGTCCTCATCAACGTGGGCAATAGTTACATTTTGAAAAGAATTAATCATACGGTTTGTCTCTCTTGCCAAATTCCTTTGGGCGCCAGCAGATGCTCGACCCTGAGCTTGGGATTCGACGTGTTTATAAGAGGAATTGGAACGTGCCGAGGACCGAGATTGACGATTACTACTATGATTACCATAGTTGTTGCTGCTCTGATTGTTGTTAATTCGTTTGTTGTTCGAATGTTGCGGCTCATTCACAAACACCAGATCGGATCTTTGCGAGGGATAGCCATAATTTGGTTTTACAGGTTTTCGGCTCCTTGACCTGTTGCTTGGTCTCCTTTGGCACTGCACCAGGTTTTGGATGTGCGCGGTCTTGGCGTGCCGCCTGGCAAATACCTGCGCCATCGGTCCGTATCCTGCTAACTAATAAAAAGGGACATAACTAAACAAATGCATTTATCGACTGTAAATTCAAAACCTACCACAACAGTGTCTGGTATGGAGTGTAAAAAGCTCTCAATGTCTTTGAAGCCGAGCCTTTTGAATGGCACGGCAGTTCCCTCTTCGTTGGCATAGTCCCGCTTCAGCCTTTCCACTGTTACACGCTCCGGCGTCGACACAATTAACGAGTGTATCACTTTTTTAACGTAACTTAAAAGCCCCTGTTCGTCCATTTTTCAGATTTACTTTACTTGAAATTGCGAAAAATAACATTAGAATATTAGCGCGTGCTTGAACTTGGCTGCGCTGGCACCAGCTCGGTACGCTGATGACAGCATAGGCGATCTGTCAACAAAACGGCACTTGATAATTTCTTTTTAGAATATAAAAATGTTTTATGATGGGATGTAAGTAATTGGGCTTGTTTTGTTGTGAACAACTTCGCAGACAGATACAATTTTTTACCAAGTGGCGGCTCATGTTAATCTTATAAAACCCATCTGTTAATTTTTTTTTTTATTATAATATTATAATAAAAACTAATAAGAAAACAATATTCATAAATATTTAAATGTATCGAATATTCAATTGGTTCATTTTGGACTAGGTGGCAGCGCTGAACTAAAACTAGCTCCATTCACTTAATTGAGGTGGCAACGCTGCTGGTACCGATAACGATTTACTTGAAGTTGGCTGTGGTTCGGTAACCGAACTAGCTCTTTCTTTTTACTTCCTTTTGGTTCCGAACAAGCAGCAAAATGTCGAAGAGAGGTATTTTACAACAAATTAAATCCGAATAAATAGTGAAAAATACAACCAATCAATGCAAAATAACAATGCGACTATGAAATGCCCAAACAGATATATGTGTTTAACTAATTATTTGTGTTTTTCGTCAATTAGGACGTGGTGGTACCGCGGGAGGCAAATTCCGCATCTCGCTAGGTTTGCCCGTAGGCGCTGTTATGAACTGCGCTGACAACACAGGTAAAACACAAACATAAATGAGTTTTAATTTGTGAAATGCTATATATGCATTTGTTTTTCAGGTGCCAAGAACCTGTATGTAATTGCTGTGCATGGTATTCGCGGTCGCCTGAACCGTCTGCCTGCTGCTGGCGTCGGTGACATGTTTGTGGCCACCGTCAAGAAGGGCAAGCCCGAGTTGAGAAAGAAGGTGAGTGTCTGCAGCGCAAAAAAATTAAGTGAAAAGTGCGAAACATGCTTCATATCGCTTATGTGCAAAATAAACAAATCCATGTGGAAATGGGGCAATGCACGCTCCTGCGCAGTGTTGCCAACTGCCGCTGCAAAAAGCTAAATCCAATAGCAAAATAGCTGAATGAGCAATAAAGACGATGCAAGAGAAGCCGGAAAACAGCTAAATTCAATTCAATTCAAAATGTAAGCCATTTTCGGCTAACAATTTCTGCACTTAGCCAAATTTAGTTAATTGGCAACTCTGCTCATGTGTTTTGTGCAAAAAGCGTGCAAAGTATGCGAACATTTTAGCTTGACTGTTGTTTTTATGTGTTTTGTTAATTATTTGTTAACGCGTGTTTATTTTTAGGTTATGCCCGCCGTGGTCATTCGGCAGCGTAAGCCGTTCAGAAGGAGGGACGGTGTTTTTATATACTTTGAAGATAATGCGGGGGTCATTGTGAACAACAAAGGCGAAATGAAGGGCTCGGCCATAACCGGGCCCGTTGCCAAGGAATGCGCTGATCTGTGGCCCCGTATCGCATCGAATGCAAGCTCTATAGCATAAGCAACAGTTCCCCAATTCAACAAGAAATAAACCCAATAACGGAACACCAGATGTTATTAAATTAGAACTGACTCTAAAATAGTTTTATTTTATTGCCTCGGACACGGATGAGTTTCGTTCAGCCTTATGCCTTAGGCGCCTCCGTTCGCAGCGTGGGCTTTGGCCGCGTCACCTCCATCGATATCTTGCCGTTGGCGCCCTTGAACAGTGCATAGCACACCTCGAAGGTGAGCCCCTCCAGCGCATCACCGTTTAATTTGGTTATGATGTCGCCGCGCTGCAGCTTGCCATCGATTTCCGGATATTGTCCTTGCAGCTGCAAAAGCGTTGAGGCTGTCAACAATTGGAACAAACCATTTTCAGATGAAACTACTCACAATTTCGGAGATGGTGCAGCCGCGTTCATTGGGCACCAGCGAAAGACCCAATTCCTTGCCGCTCTTTTTCATAAATTCCACAGTGAACTTCTCCAACTCGGGCGGATCGGCCCGGAAAACCGTAAAGTTGACGTTCTTCTCATAGGTCATGTGAAACAGTTGATGCACCTTCAACGTGGTCATGCTCTCGCAATGCACCGCCCTGCCGTTGATATCGCAAATGTGATCAAAGATCTTCAGGCGGTTGTCCGCGGCCAAGGCGCCCTCCGGATAAATGTGTGTTATGACACAACCAGTCTGTAAAGGAAGTTAGTGTATAGTAATGAAATCTGGAGTGGAGTGGAGTGTGCACACATACCTTCACGTTGTTGTTCTTGCCGCCAGTCACTATAACGCCCAACGGTTTCTTTTCGACCTTCACCTCGATGAGTATCTTTTTGTTTGGCTTTATTTCGGCTATAGAGGGTTCCTGTGGCTTTTCCTCCTCCTTTTTGGCCTCTGGGGATTCACCAAGTAAATAATTATTAAATATTGCGATCGGAATATTTACCTTCTTTCTTCTTTTCCTCTGCCTCGCGCTCGGAACGTATGGCCTCCTCGCTCTTGAGCGTGAGCAGTATCATGGTCACCACGCCCTCGGCGCGTTTCAGCAGTCCGGTCGCCTATGGGAATGTATATAAGTCTTAGTATTTAATTACCATTAGTCAGACTTACTTCATCGTAGTTCGACTCCAGTGTCACATCCTGGTTAATGGCCAGCACCATGTCGCCAACTTTGACGCCCGCCTGAAAGGATTTGCAAGTGAATTATGTGGACAGAGGACGGGGTGCAGGGTCACTTACCGCCTCTGCATTGGAGCCCTCGCGCAAATCGGAGACGAAGATGCCATTGCCCACCTCGACATGCTTGCCGTAGATGACCATGATGCCCAGGAAGCCCTCCTTGCGCACTTGCACCGTGCGCGCCTTGGGGAACTGGTCAAAGATGAACTTCGTCTGCAAATGAAATAGAAGTTATTGAGCAAAAGAATGCAAAGGATGACTTGGTTTTAGCTAGCCTCATCGGTGGATGCTGGGAACTTCTTGATGGGCTTGACGCACATGCCCTCGTCGTTTGGCTTCCGGCGTGATGTGATCATCACGAGCTTCTCCCCGTCGACGTTCTTGAACACGGCGGAGGCGTTCAAGTGGCAGCGATTCTTGAGCACATTGCCATTGACCTCGACGATCTCGTCGCCCGGCTTCACATCCACGCTGGCCAGCAGCCCATTCGGATCGACGCCAGCCACAAAGCAGGCCATTTTCTGTCTATCCTTGTGGCCGGCCAGAGCGATGCCCAGCGGTACATTGCCCTGCCGCTGGATCTCGATGCGGCGCAGATCCTTCATCATGTTATAGCGCTTGTTGATCTTGGCCATGGTGTAGCCAAACTCATCCTCCTGCTCCTTGTCGCGATCCTTTTCCTGCTTGTTTAGCTTGCAGTTGCCCGCCGATGCGCGATCAATCTGGGAAGAGGGAATCGATTGTTATAAAAGATGTTTATATATATACCATATGTAGCTCCACTAACCTCGTAGCCCGCTTCGGTGCGAATGCGTCCGGTCATGTCGCGCGTATCCTCATCATCGTCGTCGTTGTTGGTCGGCACGTGCTTGACCCGTGTGGAGGCCGAAAAGGCTGGATTGCGTCTAGGATCGTTCCGTACGGTCGGCTGCCTGACCGTGCCCATAGTATTGCTGGAACTTTGATCTGTGAGAAACGTGTGAGTCAAGCCGCATATATATTAGATGACCAGATTCTACCTTGATTGAATTTATTTTTGGCCTGCATGTAGCCATTGCGTGGATCATTTTTGTTTTGCTCATCGCTCTTGTCAAATGTCTGGATTTCCAGCTCGATCTTAAAATCGGCATCCTTGATCAGATCAATGACCGCCTGTTCGGTTGCGTGCCGCACATCCTTGCCGTTCAGCGAAAGGATGCGATCACCAACCTGCGAATGCAGCGCTGTTATCCAATTTATTTTAAACCCTCAGCTACAGACCTTTAGTTTACCACAGAGATGAGCGGGACTATCGGGCACAATACCCTTTATAAATATGCCAGTCGTTTTCGTGTTCGGCGAATCCTTCACCTCGCCGCGTACAATACAAATGCCAAATGATTTCTTGCCCGTTTTATCCAAAGTCACCATGTGCATGTGGTCTGCAAAACACAAGGATGTTGGAGAGACAGAGAGAGAAAGAGAGAAGGATAGACGAAAACATTAAAAGCGAAGTATCATATCTTTCAAAAACCTTTCCCCCAGCACATTAATAAAATATTTTTCCTAAATCGCCCTACTATGCGATTGTCATGAGTAATTAATCTTTGTTTTCATATCTGTAAAATGTATGTACATATGCATATATATGTGTGAAAATCTCTTATGCCAACGCTGCAAACTAGCATAAAAAAAATATTTTTAAAATATTGCTCTTCTACGCGATTCTCATGAATTCATGTAGGCCTTGCAGTTCCCTATGCTTGGATTGTAAGTGGTGTGTGAAGTGAACATTGGTCTTGCCAAACTTATCATTATTTTTGTGTTTGCGTGTGTCAATAACAATACAGCTATGCACGTATGTATGCATGTATATATGTATGTATGTATATATGTATGCATGTATACATATGTATGCTCGTATGTATGAATTGGGTATGCGTATGTTCCCGCATACTTGCTGTCCGCTGGGCTGTAAGCCTGAAGCAACGTATTTTTGAACAGTGCTCTACTACGCGATTCTCATAAATTCAAGTAGGCCTCGCAGTTCTTCATGCTTTGCTAGTAAGTAAAGTGTTACATTAACATTTGGTGTTAAATTATATTTGTGCTCTAACTCTCACTCGCTGTTTCCCTCGCGCTCTCTCTCTTCCGCTCTAGCCCCCGTTCTCCCCCACTCTCTGTCCATCTTCTCTTCCTCTTTTTCTCTTTACTCGCTCTCTTTTTCTACTCTCTCTCTCTATCTCTCTTATTTATACTAAATATATTCTCCATTTCTTTTGCATTTTTAGCGATATACATTCTGACGCTCTCCTATTGTGTGCCTGTACATTTTTTGGGTAAGTACATAATTACATATTCACATACAAATGAGAAAATAATTCAGACCAGAGCAAGGATTACAGCCTGGTAATATATTTAATATGGCTAATTCAAATATACTGTTAACAATATACATATATTTTTAAATACTCTTAGGCTTGGCATGCTCTGGCTTTAAGTAAATTTAAAGCTGTGCATAATATTCAGTCGCAGGCAAATCTTAAAATCAATTCTATATTAGAAAAACGTTTCAACACAAAGTAGAGTCAGGTTCATATTATATCCATAGTATTTCAGCATAAAAAATTCTGATAGATCCCATGAACTGTTAAGCACATTGTCTCATGTCTTATATAATTAGGCAAGTATGCACATAACTAACACGCCAAAGGCATATCCGGAGCTCTTATATAAATTTGTAATTGGATTGAATTGTTATGTCGTGGAGTACTAACCAGCTCCGCCACCGGCACCGGCATTCCCTTGGTATTGAACCATGATTAATTAAGTTATATATAATTATTTTAAAGATGCAGCTACGTCAAGCGCTCAACATGAAATTTGTAATTCTTGGTTTTTTATATTTCTCTTTAATTTTTAGCTGTGAGCTTTTTGCAGCGAGCCCATTGAAAATCGCGCCTAAACTGATTTTACAATTAGCTGTCTGGCATTCTTGCTAACTGACTTAGTGGCTATTCTATTTTGAGTCTGATTTTCGTATCGATTACACTGCGCAACAAGAGCTGTGACCGTGAAGCAAAATGGCATTCTGTAAAAGGCAAATAAAATGTTTGTTAAATAAGTTAAGAGCATGCAAAAAAAAAGAAGCATTTCGCTATGCAATTTCCTTTTAGTCGTAGAATTAGTTTTCCTGTAGCACAGTGTTATTGATTTATCATCGCATTTCACATTGGCTTCAATTGCATTGAGTAACTTTCGCTGCTTGTTGCGGTAAATTGGCATCTATGACGCAGTCACACACACAGACACACACACACACACACATCTACATTTCACTCATAACATTCAGTCCAAATAAAGACAAGACTGCGTTTAGTTGCCGGCATCTTGATTGGCATTTATTACAATATTAATTTGTTAGTGCGATTTAGTCAATGGAAAAGTCAGCACTCCGTAAATGGAAGCCCATCAAGTGCTGTCCATATGCCAAATGCCCATCGATTTTAGCTGGTTCTATTGTACAAAATACACAAGCGCATAAGCACGAACATGTTTGAAAAGAATATAATTACATACTTGGAAGCGTATGGTAAGGAGATTGAAAAGCTAATGGGATCGTTATATATCCTGTCGTAACTCCACATAAATGAATTTAATTTGTACTCAGAACTTAAATGCATAATCAAGATTTGCATTTTAATGCGAAGAGCCCGGCCCGACCAGACCAGAGCAGAACAGAGCACGGAGAGGTGAGGTGGACTACACTGGGCTACAAAGCTACGCAAACATTTCCATTAAATGCTTCAAGGGATATGAATATTGTGTGGTGCAATGCAAAGCGTATTCTGAGCGAGAGTCAACAGAGACGCGCGCGCATAAAGCGGGGGAATTACTTATACATATGTACGCTGGATAACATTATATGTAAATGGTGGGAAGGGGTCAGCCAGGGACGACGACGAAACGTTGTTGAAAATTAATTTCATAATAAAAAAGCGTAAGGAAACCCATTTGATAAAACAATTTCCTTTTTGCCTCCCAACAGTCATGTTTTGTTAGTAAAGTAAATTCAAAAGAGAACACAGCACCCGGGACCAGAGCAGAACGCAAAAACCAGAAGGCAAAAAAAAAAATAATAAAATAATACAAAATGAACAAAAAAATGAAAAACCAGTTGAAAAGCAAAAATATGGCAATGAGCTTAACTTTCAGCGCTGCACGCATCCGCAACGGCAAATGGCGGCCGCAGCTTCTGTTTCGGCTCTCTCTCTCTCTTTCTCGCTCTCGCTCTCTTTCTATTGCCAGAGCAGCGCTGCTGACGTCGCTGTTGCGTTGTCGCTGCTGCTGCTGCTGTCACGTAGCATAGCCTGGACGCTGATTGGCTATTGGCTCCTTGCTGGCACGCCTTTCGCAATGGCCGCTGTCAACAATGTGTGAGCCTGTGTGTGTGTGTGTGTGTATATGAGAGCGCTTTGTTCTTTATCGCTGTTGCTGTCTCTCACTTTGAGCAGCATCCTTCTGTAAGCGCTGCGCCGCAGTCGGCGCATGGTTGTTGCGACGATTTAGTTAACTGAAGTGATTTTCTACTGTTTGCTGTCGCACACACACACACACACACACACACACACACACACACACCTATAGAGACAACAGCAACGCGCTATGCTCTTATGTAAGTAGCTACACGTGTACATATACACATGCATGTATATATATTTGTGTGTGTGTGTGGATTCGTTGTTGACTTGTTCTCGTGTTGTACTTACATGCAGTTATATCAAATTGCTAATAATCGTTTAGCAGCCACTTCTGAGTGCGTCCTGGAAATGAATAAAAATTACAGTTTTTGCGCAAAAACACTTCAGCTGGCAGAAACTCGTTATAAATTTTGTTTATTGGCACAGCCCCAACTGCTCTTAATGGCTTTATTAACCTGATTAATGCCTTGGCTTGAATTTATCTTTTAATTTCTTAGAAAATAACTTTCACAACAATTTTTTGTTTGTTTGACAAGTAAAAAAGTTTCTTCTTGGATTCCCACTAAATACATTTAAATATTCTCAGCTAGGAATGATAAGTAAATCACGGAGCTGAGGTCTCTGACTGTGAAAACTTTCTACATTTTAATTGTCTATAATCGTTGAGAAATAATCATTTCCTAAAGTTTTGTATCAATGTTACCAATTTATTAAAGTATCAGTTATTATGATATTATATTTTATACATGAGTCAAAATAATGAGTCCAAAATAATTATTTGCGACAAAAACTGATTACTAATTATTGCGTATCTCCTTAGACTTTTTATAACAATAACAACAAGGTGAAAGCGTTTTAATTATTGTTTAAATTAGAGGCCGTACTAGCTAGTACTAGTAAATAGTTAGGCTATAAAGAATATAACTTTTACTTTAGAGATTAATTTAAAAAACGCGTCACTTAAATATGTGTACATAATACGTCCCATCGAGTAAAATTCGCTAGATTATATAGAAATAATTAAAAATATATTTTTATAAATTTATTAATAATATCCGCATGAAAAATACAAATTTGTATACAAATACAAATACAAACGCGTCACTTGAATATGTGTACATAATACGTCCCATCGCTTAAAATTCGCTTGATAATATAGAAATAATTAAAAATATATTTTTATAAATTTATTAATAATATCCGCATGAAAAATACAAACACCTTAAGCACACACTCAGGCGAAAAGCCTGAAAGTATTCCATTTGAATGGAAGAATCGTACGCAACAGGCGCCCCTCAAGAGCAATAAAAGGCACTAAAACAAAACAAAGCGAACAGGACATGGAACAGGAGCAGGACAGGCTAAGAGCCAACTGAATATTCTCACGACAGTCGAGGACATCGACAAACAATTACGCGTACATGTGTAGTATAAGTATAAGCAGCCAACGGGGATGGGATGTGGCATGCCCCGTGGTACGGATTATGGATATTTGTGTTTACTACGGCCGTAATGGGCTCATAACTTTTAAATGTGCACGTGATAGAGCAAATAATGGTGCCCACATAAATGACATCGATGCTGTCCCTGCTCCATGTCAGCCGTAAGTGCGCGCTTCTATCTAGTATCTGTGCCTGGGATATCCAAATGTATCTGCAGCTTCTTTCTGTATCTGTGTGCAATTGTTTGTAATCACAACGGCACACAATTGAATTCTTTTTGGTCAATTTTACGCCGGAACGGGATTGTTGTCAACATTAAAACTCAATTTAAATGACAACGCATAAACAAATAATTGTCCTTTTGCACACGGTAGAGGGACACGCTGCCGCAGCTACTGTAGCCACTGCCCTAAGCCCTTGGCTCGAGTGCGCCTCAAAGTTCACTCGCACGGTAGTAAGTTATTCAAATATTGAGTTTTTAACTCGCTGACAGCCACCACCACCACAGCAGCAGCAGCAGCAGCAGCACAAGGACAAGGCAGGCGGACAGGGAGCAGCAGCAGGAGGAGGATCATCTGCCACCCTACGTCCAGGACTGGCAGCATGTGCGCAGGGTCGCAGATGCAGATATGTTCCTCAACCTGGCCTGGGCTTATATCAAGTGCGTTTCTGCTGCCGAAAAGCAAATTTCATTTGGATCTGTCGACATCAGTCGCCGCCCCTTGTTTGAGTTTCTACTCCTAAATATATTTGATTTGTTTACCATGCCCTGTAGCTCTGAAATCTTAAGCCGCATGTAAATGCGTTAAATTAAATTTCAAACGCTTGTACTTTTCACAGGACAGACAATTGAATGAGCCCGAACTCCCTGCAGCTCGGATTGATTCTATTTACTGTGCCCAAGGATGACGATAAATACCTAATGCGATTATCGCAGTGAAGCTTTTCATAGATTCCAGCTGCATTTAATATATATTAGAGCGGCACTCGAATAACTATGAGTAGATTTTGTATTGAATCTGTTTTTGGGGTTTGCCCCTCCAGTTCGCATCCGGCTCGTTCTATTTATATTGCGCTCCATTTTGTTGATTTTTGGACACGGATAGTCCCGCACGTGTTCACACTTCGAGTCTCGCGGTTGGCGGCACGTGCAAATCTTTTGTAATTTTGTCATCAATGCAATCGCAAATATTTGTTGTATGGCTTTTATTTGCAGCACAAATTGGTAATATCAGCAACATTATCATCAGCATCAATGGCATCGGTTATGTCCTGCATCCTGCGCATATTTTCTTTTCATTTGTCGTCATGTCGCCCATGCAAAGCAAAAAACTGCCCTCTGTCGCCGTCTTCTTCGCGCTGCGCGTACTTTGATCTAACAAATTGATTTACACTAACGATTATTTAATGAAATTCCACACATCCCAGGCCCCGTCTGCTGTCCACGTTTGGCCCGTTGTCCTGGCAGGAAGTGTGAATTACCTAACACCCGTTAAAGGACACACGCCCGCCACGTGCCCGGCAAGAAGTTATTAGGTGTCTCTCTCTCTACAGGGAACCAGGAAACCCTTGCTAATATGTTTGCATTCAATTTAAACACTTTACGGCGCGGTTGCACTTTGAGTGCTCGAACGGAAAGATTTCATTGTTGCGGATAGCTCGAGTGCTTTTTATTAAAAAACTTACAAATCTAATAAGAGTTTCGCCCAAACTGCAAACAGATTCATCTCCTTATTTAACGAATACTTTTAGAATGATTATAGCCTTAAGTTGGGCTAAAAACCAGGAAATAAATATTGCCTGTTTTTCGGTTGACAGCTCGCACCAATTGCTGGCCTTTGGGTTAGCTTCGGCAACCTATTTTTATAATTTGTAAAGTTTTAGTAAATCAATCCATTTTTCTAATTTACATCTAAACGCGCCCGTTCTACTGAGAATATGTCAAGTTGTGCATATTGTCGCATAGAAATAATGCGCTATATTAGATCTCTGCCCAATATTGGCATTTGTCAAATATGGTTAGACAAATTCAGTCGCACTTTTTCTTTCTTTTCTTAACTTTAAAGTTATTTTTTAAATTAACATTTGCTGCGGCTCAGTTTGAGCAAGCCAGATTGGCTTTAGTGTCTATTCATAGATAAAATCTTCAATAGAACAATCTTCAAGTCAAATCTCTTAATATTTATGTTCTCTTAGATAGCCTTTGTTCTTAATATTCTAAATATATTTTAAGGTATATTTAATTGTTGTATAAGTGAATGAGAAGCTTCTTCCGCATTTTAACGAATGCCATTTTTCTATTCTGAATAAATTTGGGCAAACGATTTGTTAAGGCCAACTTGTTAGCTGTAAAAGGTACATATTTTAATCATATTCTCTATTTTAAAAATAACATCTTATCATAGTTAAGCGCGAATGAAAACTTCTTAGAATTTGCCTCCATTGATATATGGGGCTGAGGGAACTTTATTCCTCAAACGAAATCTTGGATAAAGCTCGGACTGGTGTTCCCGTCAAGTGAAACTCTCATCTCATGTGCTTGCCCCATCATACAGATTGGTGTAAAGGTGTCCTAACGATTCTTTTCCCGCATCTCCGCTATCTCCCGGACATCTGGGAAACGACAAGGGGTTACTCCAATCACGAACCTCTCGTGGGTCATCCATCTCCGGACTAGATATCCCATCATCTAGACTAGATCAAAGGCACGTCAGGTAAATGGTACTGCATCCCTTAAACAGTTAGGCCCGGCCACTTTTATTCAATTGGGGAGAACTTATTAATTTTTGTAGTTAATTACAGTAAGGGTTACCTGTCTCGGGGTTAATAAATAAATGTTTTGCTGTTTGACTTTAGCTGTTTAGCCTTTTATCAGTCAAAACAAATAAATGATTATCCCGGCTTGTGCGTGCCCTGGCCGAATGGCGAAAAGATCAGTGCACAACTATTAACAACTGTCCAAATAATCACGCCCCACAAATTAAGCCAGGACGAAATAAACCGAGGCAAAGCACATAAAACCGTATGAGTTTATGCCCGGTTTCATGGCATACGGACAAGTGACAATCATCCTACTTAATTGAATTCTTTCAGTGCATAATAAATCAACTTAATGCGATCCAAGTGTGCCTGCGAGCATGCAAAGCAATCCAAAACTCAAGTCGCAGCATATCCGCGCCCGCAGACGCGCAAATCCTTTGGCTTATTTGGCGGTTCGCAGCGAGTGGAGAGGCGAGAGAGAGGGGGTGGGGTGAGAGAGCAAGAGGGCGGGTGTGGGTAGTCAGGGCGAGGCATGTGCGGTTTAGGCGGCGGCGGCAAATAAACAACAATAAAACAGTGCAATCCAAACCCATTCAAGATACATACATAGTGCTGTCCGTTTGGCTTTTTTAAAGCTGAATTTAGCTGTTTTCAGAGGGGAAGCATTTAAAATAAGCAGCCTTTTTCCCTTTTCAATATAAGTTTCAATTGGATTAGTGTTTATTTTTTCATATTTTAGTTAACCTTTTGACCTTAAAAGGCGACTAAAATGATATTGCAATTCTAATCTTAAGATTAAATATTTATAGTTATAATATTTTGTGCAATAATGGAAGCTGTAGACCAGCTAGCCAGCTTCTGCTCTGCAAGCTAAATCAAATATTTTTAGCTGTTTTTTAACACTGGTTTCAGCTACTTTCTGCGCTAACAACAGTTGGGCAGCACTGTGCGGCACATACACAGGCATAGAGGCCACTCCAATCAGCCCATGCCCATGGATGGGCATGGTTGTAATTTCCACACTTGTGCTGACACATTCAAAGGGCTTTGGGTTTTATTTATGAATTGAGAAATTGACATCCTGCCGGGGTGGGTTAGGGCTGTGCTGGGCTCTGCCCGAGCCCGAGCTCACGGCTCGATTTTTATTGCCGCCAAACAAGAGGCTTAAGCGCACCAGAATCATCAACATCATCATCATCATCATCATCATCATTATCATCATTGTGATCATCATCAAATGAACAAATGAATGAAATGAGACTCAAACAGCATGGCACTTGCTGCCACCCCACCTGCCCCCCTCAAGCCACTCGATAACAGCCTGAAAGCGGATAAATCGAGCGTAAAATATTTCAGCTCGGACTCCTTTGTTATACTTTGCCACTTGTTTTTGCCGTGCAGGCAGGTTGAAGCGATTTGTAGCTGGGCGCTGAGCCTGTAAATGTGTGTGTGTGTGTGTGTGTGTGTGCGTGTGTGTGTGCGCGCTGAGCTGAGCTGAACGATTGCGGTTGAGATTGAGGTCCTGGCTGCAGTTGTGCAATTTGTTCGTGTGCCTGCTGTGATTTTTCGCATTGAGGGGTTGATTCCTGCTGCTGCTTGTCCATCAAATTGAGCGTCACTCAAGTATTCAAGTGTGTGTTGCCGCTTTTTTATGCTGCAGATACTTCAAAGATTTAATAATGACATAAGAAGAGCTGCCATTAAACCTGGCCAACAGCCATTGAAGTGTGCGTGTGTTTGCCTTTGCGATCTTGCTGCCTCAGACAGGTGGCAGGTGGCAGGATATCAATGGCTGGGAAAAGGACGAGGACCGGCGCAAATTAGTGGAGCCCAAAAACGTTGCCATTGTCTCAGTTGAGTTGCCATTGTGTTCGCTTCGTCAAAGCAATTCGAGTGTCAAATCTTTTATTTGCCTTTTGCAGATTTCGCAATAAAAATGTGTGCGCCCAAAAGTCGCATCGCCCAACTCTACGTCCGTATATATATATATATTTGTATCCTTGGCATATCCTTTTGGGCGGCGTGTTTGTTTGCTAGCAATAAATTTGCTGACAAAAGAAGGATTATTGCTGGATCATACCGCAGCCCCCTAAGCAGGATGCGACATCCCTGCTGCCATGGCTGACGGGCTGCCTGGCTGACTGGCTGACTGGTTCCTGTCAGCGTGCATTCTTTGGCGTTATTGTTTGCGCATAAGTTAATTGTTCCCCTCCAAAGCTTAAACGCATCGCTCAACTTGAGCAAACCCCCCGTCCCGACCCGTTCCGTCCCAGTTGCATGCTGTGCTTAAGCGATGATTAACCGTAGATTGACAGGGGCTGCCGCAGAGGATTCGGCATGGATATGGGTCGTTATACTTAGCCAAGCCAATGGCTGGGGTGCCATCAAAAACTCCAAGTGAGCGCAGCTATGGCAACTGTTGGTGTACTTAGAGCAGTTAATGTGCTTAGGCAAGTGGAAATAGACCATAGGATATCTGTAGCCAGGCACCATATTGTTAAACCTATAAATATGTTATAAATATACCCTGTAATCGCTGCAAATGGGCTTGATCTCAGAAGAAGGCTCATTTGAAAGAGTTTGCCCCTTAAAATCTTTGAGATCGAAGAACATACGGCCTGACGGCCTGATTGCAATCGTTTTTCTTCTTGAGAATAAGTATATTTGATTGAGTTAAAGTTGTTACCTTCTGTCTGTTCCCAAATTCAGCATAATAATAATATATTTATCAGATATGTGAAATTAAAAAATATAAATATCGTTTAAAAGATTATGAGAATATTTTTTATTATTTGTTTATTTATTATACAATTTGTATATTCTTCTATAAAATTCAAAATATTAATATATTATTTATAAATAATTATTTTAAAAACAAGGCAAACGCCAAATAAAAGAAACGGGAGAATTCGAAATTCTCATTCTTCTAGCAAAAGACAATACTTATATTAGCTAAAATTCATATCTAGTTAACTTTTTTCACCCTTTCTCCCTCTTATTGTCTCTTTATCGGCCTTCTTTCTCAAACTCTCTCTGCCTCTCCAATACCTTAAACGCCTTTCTATGCGATTTTCATATTCTTTAGTAATGCCTTTGTATAATGAAATAGTAACAGTATAAGCTATCAATATTGTCAATTATTTAATACTACTAAACAAAATTTAGACTATGTCAAAAGAACAGTTAGCTTTGTTGCATTGCAGAAACATTTGCAAACTCGATAGTGCTTATCAAATAAATCCAATTTTTGTGGGCTATTCGTTATTTAAGTCGTCTTAGCTGAACGTATAACCGAAATCTGTCCTTTTCCCATGTTTTATGGCGCCATTTTCAGTTCTGTTTAGTCATCGGAATAGAACTGGAAAATCACATTTGTAATAATTGCCATTAAAGCGGCATCCAAATCAATGGCTTTTGAGAAGCGCTCGTTTATTACTTCTTTGAAATTGAAACTCGGAGTTTGCTTGGATGTCCATCTGAGCTCGTAAAAAGACAAAGGAAATCCGCAATAAATTTACCACAACTGGATTGCACAACGGCAGCGAGTCCTTTCCCAAACCCAATAAAGCTTGCCTTAGACGAACACACATACACACACACACACAAGTCACACACATAGAGACGTATACAAAGGCAGAGCGGGGGGCGTTACCACGCCCATAACGTTGACTAAAAATCAGTGATTTGTAAGTGTAGCCAAGTGATTTTGATTTTTTTTTTTCGGATAGCGAATGGGAAGCGACGGGAAATGGGAATAGGAAAGATGGGTTGAGCAAAAGAAAATAGAATAATGAAAATCATGCAAGGGGAAAGAAACGATATCAATATTGTCCTGTCAAGCGAGGGGATAGGGGGGGCGGGGGCGGATGGAGCTGCCAGCCACCATTATTGTTTAGCTACGATAGTGTCTGTATGTGTGTGTGTGTGTGTGTGTTTGTGTGCCAGCAACTTCCGCAAAACTGAAAACTAATTTGAACAAAGTACAACAAATAAAACTGACTACTGAATGTTTAATTTGAAAAGGGAAGAAAGCGAACGGCAGCAACAGCAACAGCAACAACAACAGCAGCAACAATAATGTCTAACAACTAGAGAACAAAAACAGCGAAAATGAAAAAGAGAAATAATGCACACACACACACACACACACACACACACACATACATATACAAAATACCCCCCAATTGTGTTAAGGATGTTGCGAAAATGGCGCATTGGCTGCGAGCGAGGGACGCGGGTGCGGCGGGGTACTCAAACGAACTGAGCTGAAACGAGAACGAGAACGCCCGACATACGGTTAGAAAAACATTCGCACATAAAAATGCTAACATTTGAACGAGAGCGCATACTAGTACAGCACGCACACGCACACACACACACATAATAAGGCAGCAAGTGTGTGAGTGTGTGTGCGTGCGAGTGCGGCTGACATAATGAAACATTATTAAGAGCCACGACGTCAACGCTGCAAAAGGTATCTAAATTTGAGAAAATGTTGCCCATAGTCAGCATGTAGGCGAGCGCGGGTAGCGCAACGGAGGGGCACGCCATGAGTTTTGGCTTCTGCAGTCGCTGGCGTCGACGTCGCCTGCCAATTTGCGTCCGCGCCCGCGTTACACAATGGTTGGAGAGGAAAACACAAATATCACATTTACAGCAAGCAGCACTCCACCATTTTATGTTATTACGTTGTCGTATGGGTGTGTGTATGTGTGTGTGTGTGTGTGTGTGCGAGAGCGACTGCCTCGGCCCCTGCCTAGCCCCTGGCTCCTGATTGGGGGTGCGTAGATTGGTTTACAATCTCAGTCATCCCCTGCTGAGAGCAGACGCAAAGCCTATCTCCATCTCGCTCTGGCATGAACGGTTCTGCTGACTGCGCTGACGCTGGCGCCGACTGCGCTGCTGATGCTGCTGGCGTTGACGGCAGCAATGTCGACAACGACAACGACAACGACAACGACTACGGCTGCTGCGACAGCGACGACGACGTCGACAGTAGAATCACAGTTATTCGAGATACGAAAACATAGCAGCGCCGACAAAAGCTCATGGAAGCGAGAGCGGCAGCGGTTTTGGATAAATAAATGTTTGAGTTATGTAGAAAAACATTTCGGGCGAGAAGATTTTCGTTTTCGTTGCGATTCAGTTAACATTTGGCAAAAGGATTCCGCCTAAAACAGACAAACCGACGGATGACGCGTCAGACCAAGTCGCAAAGTCGTAACTGTGACAAGTTTCCAACTCGAGTTCAATACAAGCGGAAACGGTAAATGCAACGGTAACGGAATCGGAAGTCGCGTTGCACAGTTAAAATTCGTGTTGAGAAATATCTAAGAAAATCAAGTGAAAAAAAGCGCATTAATCAGTTCCTGAGAAATAGTCAAACAAGTGTTACGTCCTATTTATAAGTTAAGCACTTCATTAGCATAAATAAATACGCTACAAATACAAATACAACTACAAATACAAGGACAGCTCAGTTTGGTGCAGTGTACAAGATAGTTAGAGAATTGTAAGATCTAAACATCAAAGGCATGCACACCAGCACGGATCCCATGCACGCCCTGCACGACTGCGCCTCCCAGTCCCCCCCACCGCACAAGGGCCAGCGCGGCGGCGTCGCAGCCTCGCGAGCCGCCGCCGCCGCTGCGGATGAAATGTCCATGATCTGCGATGACAGCGATTTTGAGTCCACGCCCGCCGGCGGCGGCAGCAGCAGCGGCGATAACAACAACAGCAGCGGCGGCAACGTCAACGGCGGCGCTGGCACCGGCGGCCCCTTGGTGAAGCCGCCGTACTCCTACATTGCCCTGATCACCATGGCCATACTTCAGTCGCCGCACAAGAAACTCACACTCAGTGGAATATGTGATTTCATCATGTCCCGGTAAGTACACTCAGAAAAAAAAAACAGCCTGAATTCTAGCTTAAATTAAGAAACTCGGTTTTGAAAAGCAGCCTCTTTGGAATATCGGAATCAAAAAATATTGAAATATAAATAAATATATAAAATAAATTTTTGTGATTCATCTGTACTCAAAAAAATGTGGATTTTATTGTGTGGATTCATCAGCTAATACGAGATAGTTTTTCACCTATTTTCCGATTGGATCTATTTGACAGTGAATCGATGAAATAAGAGTTAATTTGTTGTGTTCTTGAAATCATTTTTCTGAAATTCTCAAACAATATTTTTCGTAAGGTTCGTTTCTTTCGGCTTATTTATGTGATATGCCGCATTTAATTCTTCCATCACTTGGCTAAAAATCTAATATCTAATAGTTGAATAGACAGGCAGATCTCGATCAGGTATATATTGATCGATATCTTATACAAGCGATCTAAAATATAAAAAATCTTTCACTCTAATATGACAATTACCTTGATTATTGCAGTTTTCCGTACTACAAGGACAAGTTCCCAGCTTGGCAGAACTCCATTCGCCACAATCTCAGTCTGAACGATTGTTTTATCAAAGTGCCGCGCGAGCCGGGCAATCCGGGCAAGGGCAATTTCTGGACACTGGATCCCCTGGCCGAGGACATGTTCGACAATGGCAGCTTCCTGCGCCGACGGAAGCGGTACAAACGTGCGCCAGCCATGCAGCGCTTCTCGTTTCCCGCCGTCTTTGGGACACTGTCGCCGTTCTGGATACGGAAGCCGGTGCCGCTGGTGCCGGTGCACTTCAATGTGCCCAACTTCAATGGGAGTCGCGACTTTGATGTGATGCACACGCCCAGCGATGTGTTCGACACGGCGCTGCGTGTGGATAAAAAATTCAATTTCTTTGCCAATGCGGAGGCTTCATTCTACCAGAACAACAGCGAGAAGTTCGATCGTCTGTCGTTCATCAACCGCCGAACGGAGCCCGTGGACCCACTGCCTCCAGCCAGCAGCGGCAGCGCCGCCGGCGATGCCAGCAGAGCCAACAAGTACAAAAATCCTTATGCGTTCGATGTGTCCGCCGCTGCGGCTGGCCTTGGTGCAGCCGAATATGCCGAGCGAGCCAACTATACGGATCTCAATGTGTACAACGATGAAGTGGATGGGGAGGGGGACGGGGAGGGAGACGATACGTCGTGCGATAAAATTGATGTGGAAAGCGCCAATGAGCACGAACAGGATTCGCATATATCGGACTCCGTGGATTCGGTGTGCACAAATCCCAATCGTTTAGATGTGGCCACAGAGGCCATTACACGCGATCCAGATCCCGAGCCGGAGCGCAATTCGCCCTATGCGATGCTCTTCGATCAGACGGAGGCATCCAACAGTTCGCTCGCGATTACGTCCAGTCCCAAGGTGGCCATGCACAGGAACACACTCACCAGGACGACCTTGCTGCACATGAACAGTGAGCCCGCCAATCTGAGATGCGCCAGACAGACCATGGCCAAGGACTTTCGCATCGAGACGCTCATCGGACACGGGCACAGCGATGGTGCGGCCAGTGATTAGTTAGTTCAGCCGGGACGGAACGGTGCGCCATCTGCTTGTGTATATTAAAGTGATTTCAGTTACGATTACGATCTAAGCATATTTTAACACCTCGTCTGAACGTTGTAAACATTAGCTGTAGTTTGCGGTATACACGGAATGCATCTAGACAAACGACTACTCATGTATTCCTCCCTCCATATGTCCGACAGCATGTACACTAAACAAAAACTTGAGCTACGTTTTAGAAAATCCAAAATTCTCAATTTCAAAACATATTTCTGCTTTAGCAAAGAGATCTGTTTCGATAACTTCGAAACAATTTCAATTTATGGCGATTTTCTAATATTGAGTGTCAAAAGTTTTGTAGTGTAGATGCATATTCGAGATACTTTTATGCCAGCACGAAATTTTAATGCGACCAAAAAAAAAACAAAACGCGAGTCCACTTGAATTGTAAAAAATATAGTACATACATATGCATTATGCTCGGGATCCGACAGGAACGAGCATACATACACACACATATATATATATGTATAAATATATATATATAGAAAAGTACATATTTCTAGTATGTAGAGCACATGTGTGTGCGCGTGTGTGTGTAACTATATTGTATTTAATGCCAAGGCGCTCAGCACATAAAACACTATTAACTATAGAGTAGATTCTAAGAAATTTGCTGATGTTATTGAAAATTTAATAAAATGTATAATTAGAAAACGTCTATTTTTCATTTTCAATCAAATTTGTAAGTATTGTTAAATATGAGAGTAAGTGGAATTATAATCTAATACATCTTTCCATTAAAGTCCAGATAGTTTCGGAAATAAGAAAATTGTCGGATGAAAAAATGGTATAAAATTATCTGGTGATCTGCAGTTGCCTACACTTTATTAATTGTTATTTTTTACTTATCTCATCTTTTTAACATGAATAAGAGAGTTTCGATCAGTCCAAATTAACGGGTAGTAGCTTCTGTTTTCGAACGATGTTGACTTTACAATTGAAAATTCAACAGGTTACTTACAAAATATAAGTTTTACCAAAAGACTCCGATAGGGTCAGTGCTTATATTTTGTTAAGAGCTTAAACTTAGAAATTCGTCTATTTAATTTAATTTATAATTTTTGTTTTAGTTGTTATGTTGCCTAAACAGGGGCTGCTTTGCAAAGTAATTGGACTTTTATGATATCTATTTGTAATTAAGTACGATTTAAGTCCATCTACAAGAATTTTAATAATTGTGTTTGGGGAATCAAATACACTCATACATATACATAAATAATATATTGCTTATCAATTATTGAAAAACACAATATCAATAAGAGTTTAGCAATTAATTTGAAAATATAACTATAATTAACTATTCCAATCGAATTCCTTAGAACAACTTCTGTTCACAAATTCAGCCCCAATAAGTAGGCAATATGCACTCTTCTGTTAGCCCGTTGTGAGTTAAATGTGTATAACAGCGGCATGGTTAAGCGTTAATTAAGCAAGAAGTTAGTCAAGGATTAACTGTGAACTCTGCCTTGACACTCGCAACAAGTTCAACGCAACCCCGAATTCTCTTTGGCACAGAACTCTCCAAATTGCTGACATTTAACCAACTGTCAAACGGAAGTGACAGCAGCTGTCAAAAATGTGACGCATGCGCCAACGCGTTGGCGCTCAGCTGATTGCGGCTCTTGTGCAGGACGAAAAAGGACAACGCGTTGAGTATGCGTCAGAGCGGAGAAAGCTCGCGTCGCGGCGCGGAGCGAAGCTTTTGCCAAAAGCTCGCCGTCTGTGTGTGCAGTGCTCGGTAGTTATTTTTTTTTGTAACGTGGTATTCCAGTGTTAAAACATTAAAAGCTAGGCTGGAAAAAGGACAACAGTTAAATAGAAGATACCAACACTATTGGTATCCAGCGGTACGGAGCTGCAAACTCCATTTGGCATAATTCCCCACACACGCACACACACACACACACTCATACACACAGAAACACACACAGCCGAACACACAGCAAAAAGTCGATTTTTCACCAACATAAAGTTGTATATGCGCAAAACTTTCAATTGCTGTGGATATAAACGAGAATAGAAAATTAAATAATATCAACTGCGCGGATATAGACAAAAGTATTCGCGTGTGTTATAGAAAGAGTGCAGCATTTCGATTTTAATTCCCATTCGGCTAATCGGAATGCTGAGCTCATCGTAGAGCGCAGAAAAGTGGAGCTACGAAACTTGCAACCACTCGACCGCCCGACCGCCCGCCCGCCCGCTAGCCGCAAAAACAAAACCCAGTGTTGCGAGTCCCGGGGTCCAAAGTTGACCTCTTCTTTTGTGATGTTATGTTTATGCCAATGAGAAAGCTGATAAGTCGTGTGACCAAGCGCCTGAAAGGCTGTTGAGCAATGCACAGCGGAGCCGGAGGCATAGCCAACAGACAGCCTTAGCCTGAGCCGAATCCTGCCACGAATTGCGTCCGCGGGCTGAGAGGTGTTTTATTGAGCGACACCGCGTAACGGACAGCGTTAAGCATCAGCTACGGCTGCAACAACAACGGCGACAACAACAACAACAACAACGAGGACGACGACCACGACCAGGTCGACGACTAGAACGCGCACATGGCTAGCTGGAGCTGGAGCATCTTGTGCGCAACGCTGCTCGCCGGCCTCACGTTACTCACGGGTACGTTAATTCTGAGATTTAAGCTTGTTAGCTGAGCCTAATCCTTGATGACCCCACACAGTGACCCATACGGTGCGCATTACCAATCTCCGTGTGCCGCACACTTACACACTCGAACGTGATAATGAGCCCGATCCTCTGGTGTTGGACTGCGAGTACGAGATGGGGCCGCGGGAGAAGGGCTTTGTGCTCAAGTGGCTGTTCAACAATCATTCCATCTATCAGTGGATACCCTCCGTAAAGGGTTTCGCCATGGTGAGTCATAGTTGAACGTCGTCCACCCCCGTTCAAGGAGGGCAAGAGTCAAGCGTGTGAAGGCAAAAAATTAATTAACATAAATTTCGCTTTCTTCTTGTGCTTCTTCATTGTTTCTACTGCTGTTCTTGTTGTTGTTGTTGTTGCTGTGACTCGTGTAGGGCTTCATGAAGGCAAAGATAGACACCAAAATATTCAGCATGGAGGGCAGTCCCGGTGTTATATCGATAAAGAATCCCGACTGGAACATGACGGGGGAATACACCTGTGCCGTGCAAACCTTTGAGTCCACGGATAAGCGAAGTGCCCGCTTACAAATAATCGGTATGTGAACGGGGTTTACAATTTGCATATACCCTTTGTTTTTCTATTTATTTCCATATACACTAACCAAAACAAGGTTTTATTAATTTATTCACTTATATGTCAAAGAGGCGGCCTCACAAAAAATCATATTGCTCAGCCCTTCCTTTTAATTTGAGGTAACATTAGATACTTCTTATTATCTTGAGGAAAGTGAATTTTATTTAAAGTTTAATATCTAAATGTTAATCTAATTTAACAAATAATTATGAATTAATCTTACGATTCTTCCGGCCGAGTATCTGTAATGGTAGGGCATAAAATGCTTCGGCTATGCCCAGCTATTGCCTCCTCACCTGTTTATGGCGTGAAGTTGTTTGCATAGGTGTTGGGTAGGTGTGTTGCCATATGTGGCTGGGTGTGTGTGTGTGTGTGTGTGTGTGAGTGTGTATGTTTGTGGCACGTGCGACTCATATTTGCATGCGTGTCATGTGGCAGTCGCTGCGGTTACAGAACGCCCAGCCAGCAGCCCAGCGCCGCCTCTTGTTTTTGTTTGTATTTTTGTTTTTTTTATTTTTCGTGGTGTCTATTTCGAAAGTTTTGTTTTTGTTTTTGTTGTTGGTTAGCTTGACACTTGATTAATTCTCACGGTTTTTTGCCCTGTTTGCCGTGACCCACACGTCATCGTCGATTGACAATCCCCATTCCGAAACTAAACCAATCCGCGCAAACAGTTCCTGAGTCGGATTTCATGCTGGAGGCACGCATGGGTGGCGAACAGACGGATGTGGACATAATGTGCGCGGTGCAGAACGTATTTCCACAGCCGGTGCTCTCGGTCATGTAAGTAAAGCTCAGCCACATTGGCCAATTGGATGCATCTAATGCCCTGATCCTGGCCAATTGCAGCTTTGATACACACATACTGGACTCGGTGCTGACGCAATTGGATCAGAACCCGAGCGGCCTGTACAGCATGACAGTGCGGACGCGCATTCCTAGAGATCAGCTCGAATCACCCACACCGATAACATGTGCGTTTTTCCTGCTCGGCACAAACTATACCAAACGCAGGGAGACTATTTTCTATGGTAAGTAGAGGTAAGCAGGATGGCGGGCAGCCAGCCGGGCAGGCGGGCGGGCGAGCCCTCGCCGGGATCAGTTGCTAATTTGAACCTTGTTCTGGTTGCCCCATTGCAGATAAGGCCACAAATATACAACGCAAATGGACAACAGTCGCCGTAGTTATGTCGATCGCATCTTTAGCTTTAAGCAGTTAGTTTGATAGTGTTTTTTGTAGGCTATGTACGTACGATTTGTTTTTATGTTCGTTTAGAATGTTTACAACTTTTTCATTTTTAAATAGAATTTTAAACGATAAACGTAATTTTTTGCGGTATTTTTAAAAAAGCGCTTATTTTGTAAATGCATGTAAATGTAAGAGAAATGAAATGACTCACACACACACACACACACACACTAACTCACACATACACACACACTAACACACACAGACAGTAAAAAGAAAATAAAAGGAAAAGTGAAACATACAACAACACTCAACAAAACAGCAGAAACAAACAACAACAAAACTAAAACAAATTATTGTATTCATATATTTACCACATAAATAAAAAAAATATATATATAAATAGTTATGTATGATGTATAGGTCTAATTGAGTACAGAAACGCTAATAAAAAACGAAAACATTAAAAGTGCATTAAATAAATTGTTAGCAATTGTTTTTATGTTATTCTATTCGAATATTAAGTATACGCTAACAGTTGTCAAATTTAATTGCTAGTTTAAGAAAATTAAATTCAAATTTTAGACTTTTTGGTATATTTCGGTATATTTTGCATAACAATC